TTTTTTTTGTGAGGAAGATCGGCCCTGAGCTAACGTCTGCCAATCCTCCTCTTTTTGCTGAGGAAGACTGGCCCTGGACTAACATCCATGCCCATCTTCCTCCACTTTATATGGGACGCCACCACAGCACGGCCTGACAAGTGGTGCGTCGGTGCGCGCCTGGGATCCGAACCTGCAAACCCTGGGCTGCCGCAGCGGAGCGTGTGCACTTAACCGCTTGCGCCACCCGGCCAGCCCCCGAGAGTTTTTTTTAAAGAAAGTAAGCTGCTGTCAGGAGTCGTGTCTAATAATCCCTATGTTTGTTCCCAGGAAATTGGAATACTCTTAGAAAACCAACAGAAGGTTCTCTGATTGGTCAGAACCTGAATGCACATGAAAGAGAAGTTATGTAAAAGACTGTGTAGGAGATCTCAAAGACTCTGGGTTTTTGAATCTCTAATGTTTTCTATACGTCTGTCTTTTTCTGAGAATCCTTTTACTCTAAAGACTTTTTTATTCTGTTCTTTTCTGGAAATTTATTATTTCAGTTCATTCAGACCAAGCAAATGCTGTGTACATAGTATAGCGGAGGATTTAAAAGAAATATAAACTACTTTCCTTGTTCTTATAAGGAGCTTATAAATAGTCAAGGTTAACACATAAAACAATCAGCAAACTCTATGGACCATAAAGATTACTGCTAGACTGTATGGCGCTGAGTATAAATAGGGGCAGTAGGAGTTGAAATATGCAAAGATCAATGTTAGCTGGAGTGTTTGTGTTGAGATCATAGAGGACGTGCAGATGGGACTCGAACTGGCAGGACATCCAGAGTTTGAATGGGTTAAGGGAGAGAGATTGTAGAAAGGAGTGGCAGCATGAACAAAGGTATGTAGGTGCAGGATCGTCTTGAATGTGGGCAGTTGGAAATTCAGGACTGAGTGGTGATAGACTGTGATATGTATATGTGTATGTGTGCATATCGATGTATGTATGTGCATGTATTATATATAATATATACATAGATACTCCTGATTTGTGCTAATATATGAAACTAGCTCATATATGTACATACACATGTATATATTTCATATTCATGTATATGAAATTAGTTTCCCCAACCAATGTCTTATGCCATCTAGGGAATAAAGTAACTAATGTGGTATTCTTTCTTGCTAACTTTTGTGATGAGAGAAGTTCATGTAGGAGATTCATTTCATGGATGGCCTAGTACTTTGTTTTTACTGATATTAACATGTTCCAGTTCAGAATAATGAAAGAATCAAACCTGATTTGTGCCTTTCTGGAATCTGCGCTTCTCTTACAGCCTTTCATCCTTCCCTACAGGCCGGGGTTTGAAGTCTCACGCATATATTCACAGCGTCCAGTTTAGCCATCATGTCTTCCTCAACCTCCACACTCTCAAGTTTTATTGCCTTCCAGACAACTATGAGATCATCGATTCCTCACTGGAGGATATCACGGTGTGTGTGCAAGAGGGCTGGTTTGGAACCAGTTCTTTTGGGAGCCATCCCAGGGCTCCTGGGGATCTCTGTCACCTAAGGTCAGGGAAGAATCTCAGTCCCTTGGGCTTGGAGAGGCTTCTTTCCCTTTGGGATGAACCAGGGAAACCGAGTAAGAAGGTCAGGATTCATAATTGCAGCCTGTGGTCTGCAATCTAGCTGTCATTTCTGCTTTTAGTGTTGAGGGTTAGGGCTGAAGAAATGTGGCTACTTTCTAATCAGTGTGAAAGCATTTTTGTGAAATAAATTATCCTTCCACACTTTGGAGTAGGGTTGTGAATTGGGCCTGGCGTAGGAGAGGGGATACCAGGTTGCAAAGCAGTTCCTGGCTGCTTTTGACCTGATACGGCCAGAATGGTCAACACATCCTATCTGTGGGCTCCGGGTTGTGACCTGTGCCAGGAATCACTGTACTTAAGTGTAGAGCATGGAAAGTCCTCTTAGGCTTCAATTAATGTTGGAACTGTTGATTATTATTTTCTTTTTTAGCATGTGACTGTGCATTCATAGTGCTGAATGCTCTGTTTTTTTTTTAAGGAAAGCTTGATATTCAGAGTTTTTGAAATGCCGCTTATGCTGTTTTTATAAGTTTTATAGGCCTATTAATAATTGAGTTTAAAGTAGTTATGGACAGTATTTACAGAGGGAGACACTGAAGTAAATTCAAGGTTTCAAAGAGAGTTAGTGGTAACTTCTGTCCAGCTCGTGACGTGATAGCCCTCATAGCTCTAGGGCTGGGAAGGTCCTAATCCTGCCCCTCCAACCACCGGGAGCCATGAGCTCTCAGTCCTGCACACAGGTGAGGAGGCGCTCCTGCTCCTGTGCTGGGTCCATGTACTGGCTCTGTGTGAGGTCCCACCCGAGATTCAGACCCCTGCTGCCTGCAGAGATTTGAGTGTCCTGCAGTTTCTGACAGTCGTTTATCATGGAGTTGGCTAGACCTGAGGTCTGAGGAAAGACCTGGGATTTAGTGATTTGGGGTTAAATACAGACATCCCCTTCTACATTAGTAATGTGGAGAGGACCTCCCCTAAATTACCTTGGTTTTGATATCTGTTGTTGGGAGCCCTTTTGTGTGTATGGTGAGACGTTCACGACCAAAGTGTTTTTTGTTTTTAGCAGAAGTTGCTGTTGCAGATATATCTTATGAACTGTTTACCCCCCTAAGACAACTTAGAATTTTCTTTTGCTTTGCAGTATGTGTTGAAACCCACTTTCACCAAGCAGCAGATTGCAAACTTGGACAAACAGGCCAAATTGTCTAGGGCATATGATGGCACCACTTACCTGCCAGGTATTGTGGGACTGAATAACATAAAGGCCAACGACTATGCCAACGCTGTCCTTCAGGTAGGCTCAAGATGGGAACAGTGAGGGAGAGGGGGTAACCTGGGAATACTGTGAAGATTGGCTAAGAAATTACTGCCTTCTGGCAGAGTGTGGTCTAATGGTCCCCAGACACCAAGCCTTGCTGGGGACTCTACTTGAGTTTTTGTTCTGTACCAAGCAGAACATTCTTATGTCTACTCAAGGGGCTGCTGCCAAATGAGGCCTTTTCCACCCTCTGGGCTCATGGCATCTGGAGCTTCCAGAGAATGAAGGATAGAATCTGCACGTGGCCTGGCAATACCAAATACGAAACATTTACATATGCTAGATGATGCATTTTTTTTTTTTGAGGTGCGGATATTCATTGTGCTGGCTATCCAATATCTCATTCCTGCCCCTGTGCTTAAGCCCTGAGGTGGGAAAGGCAGAAAACCAAAGTTGTCCTATTTTTGATTGTTTTTATTTATTTATTTATTTTTCCCCCAAAGCCCCAGTAGATAGTTGTATGTCATAGTTGCGCATCCTTCTAGTTGCTGTATGTGGGACGCGGCCTCAGCATGGCCGGAGAAGCAGTGTGTCGGTGTGCGCCTGGGATCCGAACCCAGGCCGCCAGCAGCAGAGCGCGCGCATTTAACCACTAAGCCACGGGGCCAGCCCTGTTTTGTTTTTTTTAAAATTACGTGAATAATATGTGCATGTTGTAGAAAAATTAGAAAATGTTGGTAAGCATAAATAAGAAAATTAACAATCCTACTTCACCCGAAAAAGGTTGATTTTAATGTGTACAAATATTGAATAACTATGTGTACACCTGAAAATAATGTTATAGTCAATTATAACTCAATTAAAAAAATTGGTTTTAAAAAATTATAAACAAAAAAATTTATAAACATAAACGAGGCTTATTGGGGGCAAAGAAAGATATATAAAGTGAAAGCTTCCTTCCTTTCCCTTCCTAGTACTCTGTCCTGGGGTGGTTAACAGTATATATAGATCACCAGAATTTTTTTCTGAACACATATACACACATACATAATATTCTGTTAAGTGGCAATATTGTGATTTATTTTGCCATTCCCCGATTGATAGATAAAATTTAACTTGTCTCACTTTTTTTCCTTTGACCAGTGTTGCAGTGACTATCCTTCTGTGTATAGTCCTGCATTTTTTGCAACACTTTTACATTTTGTTACATTTCTTTCCTGGACTTTTTTTTTTTTTTTTTTTGAGGAAGATTGGCCCTGAACTAACGTCTGTTGCCAATCTTCCTCCTTTTTTCCCCCCAAAGGCCCAGTAGGTGGTTGTATGTCATAGTTGCACATCCTTGTAGTTTCTCTATGTGGGACGTTGCCTCAGCGTGGCTTGATAAGCCGTGAGTAGGTCCGTCCCCAGGATCTGAACCGGTGAACCCTGGGCCGCTGAAATGGAACACACGAACTTAACTGCTGTGCCATTGGGCTGGCGCTTTCCTGGACTTTGAAAATATGCATAATTATATATTTTTTATCTGTGAAGCATTATAGTATATATATGTATCTTTATATTTTTTCTAACTTAAAAGCATATTATGAAGTCAAATATTTTTGTGCAGCATCCTTAATTATTACATGTTATTCCATTTTGTTGATAAATTATAATTTATTTAACCATCACTTCTTGTATTAATGCATCTAGGACCTAGATTCAAGGCTGTAGGGAGTTTGTAGCAACTTGCAAACCCACTGACAACACAAGAATGTTCTTCATCTTGCATTGTCACTGTTACCATTGAAAACAATTTTTTCCGTTTTGATAGGTTATCTCCATTTTAACTTACCTTTTTTAATTCACTTCTAAAGTTAATTACTGAATAGTTTTTCATGAGTTGTTGAGCCTTATGTGCTCATTTTTCTATTGGTTCATTTTACTGAGCTTTAAGAAATAAATCACTTATTAGCCTTTTTCTGTTGTATATGTTGCGGATATTTCCTCCTAGTTATTGTTTGACCTTTAAACTTTGTTTTGGTATTTTTGCATGAAGAATAGGGTAACAAATTTGTAAAATTATGTCTCTTAGTTTTGGTGTCTGCCATTGGTGTCATGCCTAGTCTTCCAGGAAAGGTCAGATTCTTAGGTGGAGAGAGACTTGCCTACTGTTCCTCTTACAGCCTCTCAAGGCTTTGTGAAGACTGTTACAGGTGGGCAGATAGGATTTGAACATGGTCAGGGCAGTTAGTCTTGGCTTTGTGGTGGGTTTTAGTTTCCATAGGAAGTTCTCTTTATTTATAAAAATAAGAGGATGAACAAAACTTCTGTGATGAGGTTTCCACTAAAATAGGGTTGAATGGACCGAGTACTCCATCTGGAGGCTGGATAATTTCTCTCCAAGGATGCTTTACTATTATTTATATTGTGAAGCCAGGGAGTAGCCTCTCTCCACAGCGGGGATAGCTGAGAGTTAGGGTAAACTTTATCCATACTCTTCTCCTTTTGAGAGTAACTCTTTTTTTTAGTAATTATTCTCTAAGCAGGAAGTTCTTGTTTATTTAGCTGAGCTAAGCTTTTAGGGGTTTTCCTAATCACCTCTAATGGTTTTGGTGCTCCCTGCATCCTGAGTTGTCATCCCCCGAGCCTCCTGGGTTTATTGTATTTAGCAGAAACCTTGTATCCTCCTTCTAAGTGGATCACCTTGTCAAAGCAAGTTGTGCTTATAGTAAGCACAGCACAGGTGAGGATTCGTGAACCCATCAGGAAAGACCTGTGGGGAGACTGTGTGTTTATTTAGTGTCTATTCTGTGGTCTCCCTCCCAGTTTTGTACCTCAGACTCATGAGCGTGTATTCCTTCCTGATCCAACGTGGTTGGGTTTTATCTTTTTGCTTAATGAGGTAAAATTTATTTCTGTTTGCTTAAACCTTTTGACCATTTTCCATCATAATAGAGTACAGTCATATTTATATACAGTTCTGTGGTTTTATTACCACATTCTCAGTACCACATTTGGTGAAAACACCAAATTTTATTACGATGATTTTCATATTATTTTAATGTGCATTTGAGAGATGGGGGAACTGGGGTCTCTAGGTGGTTATCTTTGCTCCAGCCAAATCGAGGATGATGAAAGAGTATTTGGGTTTCTAGCCTTCAATTTCTTATGAAACCAAATGTAGTCACAGGCCTAATTAGAGTGAACAAAGGACATCGTTAAATAAGTTGGTCAGCAGATAGGGATTTGAATACCTTTTCTTTGAAACTCCTTTGTCATATCCATGTCAGCAAATTGTCTGCAGAACTGGACTTTGTATGAAACATCCAATACGAAGGATGTTTCTCTCTTGTGAACTCTGGGTGGGATTATCCAGGAGTCCATTTACTTCTGGTTCTTTGAGGCATCATAGGCGCAGTTCTGTTAGAAGAATGTTAGTTGGAAGAGCTTGGCTCCCAGGGGTCCTGCAGAAGGGCTTGGGATTAATCAGAATGTTCGACTTTCAGGCTCTGTCTAATGTTCCTCCTCTCCGGAACTACTTCCTGGAAGAAGACAATTATAAGAACATCAAGCGTCCTCCGGGGGATATCATGTTCTTGTTGGTTCAGCGTTTTGGAGAGCTGATGAGAAAGCTCTGGAACCCTCGAAATTTCAAGGCACATGTCTCTCCCCATGAGATGCTTCAGGCTGTTGTCCTTTGCAGCAAGAAGACTTTTCAGATCACCAAGCAGGGTAAGGAACAAGTCATTCATGTTCTGTTACTTGAGGGCAAACAAAACTAGTTTGATGAACAAATTTACGTCCATTTTGCAGCAAAAATTGTAGTAGCCAGAGTGAGTGTCCAGTGAATATCCTGGTTAGGTTCCTCACTCTTATTTCATCAGCCTGCCCTGCTCAGAGTCCCAAGAGATTTTAGCTGAATAGAAAGTCTGTCTTATTTGGTAAACTAAACTGCATGGCCTAGAAGGAAACCAGGATGCTGGGAAAGGTACTAACCCCACTAACCCTTATTAAGCAGCTACCACCTTTGCTTCTCATTTTTTCAGGTCGCAGACTAGAATATTCTTTTTTTTTTTTGGTGAGGAACATTAGCCCTGAGCTAACATCTGTTGCCAATCCTTCTCTTTTTTGCTGAGGAAGATTTGCCCTGGGCTAATATCTGTGCCAGTCTTCCTCTACTTTATATGGGACGCCGCCACAGCATGGCTTGATGAGCAGTGTGTAGGTCCGTGCCTGGGATCTGAACCTGTGAACCCTGGGCCACTGAAGTGGAGTGTGTGGATTTAACTACTATACCACTGGGCTGGCCCAGACTAGAATATTCTGATGAACTATTTTGACTGTTTTCATCCCTCCAGACCCAATTAGTTGTTGCCATGTGCGTAAAGTGGACACTCTGTAGCTCTTAGTACCTGTATCTCATATAATATCCTCTAGCATCCATGTCAGTTTATTCAACACTCACTCATGGTGCTAGGTTTTGCAGCTGCAGGAATAAGAAACATGCTTCCAGGAGCTGCCATTCTAGTGGGGAAGACAGTCATGTAAAAAGGTTATTATAGGGTGTTAAGTGCTGTGATCGAGGAAGCAACGTATGCTATGGGGGGGACCATGGAGCAAGGACCCCCAGTTGAACATGTGGGAGGTAGGCCGGGGTCAGAGTGGAGGGAGAGACGCCTGAGTTTTAGGTAGAGGGGGAGACAGGCTGGGGGTGGGCCTTGCAGGTGGAGAGGACACTGCTGACAGAAGCATGGAGATGCCTGGCACAGACAGAAGACTGCAAGTAGCTGGAGCCTTAGATTCCAGAGGACAGTGATGAGAGCAGAGGTGGAGGTTGAGAGGGAGGGACCAGATTGTTGGGTCTATAAGCTACTGTAAGGAACTTGGATTATGTCCTGATGTGACATCCTGATTATATCCTGTGACAAATATGACATCAGATTTATATTTTAAAACATTATTCTGGCTGAGGAATGACTTAGAGGGGATGTTCAGTAATGGCCTTTGATGGGCAGAGAGATACAGATTTGGAGTAGAGATGATAATTGAAGGTCCTGGTTGGATTAGAGAGCCTAGGGAGAGACTAAAGATTGGAAGATGTAAGAGCTTGTCGTTGAGGAATGCCAACATTTAATGGCCAGATAGAAGAGGATACTCGGGGGACGGGATGGCATGGCCTGAGAGGAAGGAGGAAAACCAGGAATGTGGAGTCATGCCAACCAGCGCATGTTTGGGGTTATCATACTGCCTCCCAACTTCAACATGTGCCACCCTTCCTTTCCCAGGGGATGGAGTCGACTTTCTGTCCTGGTTTCTAAATGCCCTGCACTCAGCTCTGGGGGGCACAAAGAAGAAAAAGAAGAGTAAGTCATGTTTTTTGTCTGCTTCCTTTAAAAAACATTTTGCAACTTTCCATCCTTTTCTTCTTAACTGTGTCTCTTTTTGTGTTAGGGTAGTATCTGTATACATGGGCTAGATTTTGTTCCTGAGTAGGCCCCTCTGCCTTTTTTTTTTTTTTTTTTTGGTGAGGAAGATTAGCCCTGAGCTAACATCTGTTGCCAATCCTCCTCTTTTTGCTGAAGAAGATTGGCCCGGGGCTAGCGTCCGTGCCCGCCTTCCTCTACTTTATGTGGGATGCCACCACAGCACAGCTTGACAAGCGGTGCTTTGGTGCGCACCCGGGATCTGAACCTGTGAACCCTGGGCCGCTGCAGCGGAGCACACACACTTAACCACTGCGCCACTGGCCCGGCCCCACGATGGCATTTTTAATAAGTGGAAATGGATGTAATTGTGCTCTAGAAATCCTGACCCAGTTTCACACTGAGCGGCTGGGCAGCATGCTGTAGACTGCTTGTCTGGCTGTGCAAGAGTTAATGTGAGGAGGACTCAGTGGGTGGGTTGCCTGGCTTATAAATGGGCTGGTACCGTAGACTAAAAGCTAGTTTCTTGCCCTGAGCCTATGCTTGGAAAAATCAGGCTGTCCTCCATACAGATTCTCAGACTTTGAGTCCCTATGTCTTAGCATCCGTGTTGGCTTAGCAGTAGTTAGACATTTTTCATGAATGCCAAAAATAACTATTATCTTAGAGACTGCTGAGATAGGTGAATAATTTTGAAGACCTAATGCAGTTTTTCCTTGTCTTCTTTCTGTGTTCTGATAGTGTTGGTGTTTCTTGATGTGGGATTGTGGCCTGCTGCTCTTTCTACTAGATGGCCCTGTTCCCTCTACCAGGTCTCTTCAACCTGTGCATACCCTCTGAGGTCTCTACATTGTGTCTTGTCAGCATTCTGGAACCCTGTTGTGCTTTCTGTCTCATTGCTGTGGTTCTGTTCTGCTCCATCCCTTAGTCTGTCATTTTCCTTTTATGTCCAATGCAGGGTGGACACTGTTTCCCTTTGCCGGGAGCCTGTGGTTATGGGAAGTTCCTTGGCTATATCTTGTTTTGCTTATGAATTTTTTGTGATTCATAAATCTCCAGCCTCTGTAAATCATTCATTTATTTCAAATGCATTTTATTTTTCTCTTAATGGGCCAGGCCCTGTGCTGGAGGGTCGGAGAGCATCTTGTGTAGAAGACAGACATAAAATAATTATTTACACAAATAATTATAAAGGTACCATGGTGGTATACATTACAAAGGTACTTCTCTATTTAGTGAGAACTTTGCGTCTCTTTTTTTTCCTGTGAGGAAGATCAGCCCTGAGCTAACATATGATGTCAATCCTCCTCTTTTTGCTGAGGAAGACCGGCCCTGAACTAACATCTGTGCCCATCTTCCTCCACTTTATATGGGACGCCGCCACAGCATGGCCTGACAAGCAGTGGGTTGCTCCGCGCCTGGGATCTGAACCTGTGAACCCCGGGCCACCGCAGCGTAGCGCACGCATTTAACTGCTGCACCACCGGGTTGGCCTTGAGAACTTTGCGTCTTATGCTGGAAGATGCTAGTTTATTTCAGAAATTTAGAAGTTAGGAGTATATTTTGGAAATGCTTTCCAACCTGACAGATTTTGCATTTTGACTTCTGTTTGTACAGCTATTGTGACTGACGTTTTCCAGGGGTCCATGAGGATCTTCACTAAAAAGCTTCCTCATCCTGATCTGGTGAGTGGATTGAACCTGAGTCGTGGACTGGTTTATATTGCCTGAGGGGATTTAGGGTTGACAAAGAGATGCTTAGAGAACTGACAAGGCCTCTTTACCCAGGAGGAGGGTCTGCAAAACACCTGCCAAGTGACGGTTCCCTCAGGTTTCCATCACACCAGTTTGGAAGTTAGTGGTTGGATATATAGTCATACGTCACTTAAGGATGGGGATATGTTTTGAGAAATGTGTTGTTAGGCTATTTTGTCATTGTGTGAACATCATAGAGTGTACTTACACAAACTTGGATGGTATAGCCTACTACACACCTAGGCCGTATGGTACTAATCTTATGTGTCTACCGTGGGATATGCAGTTCCTCATTGGCTGAAACATTATTATGCGTCGTGTGACTGTAGTCTGCTGGTTTAAGGGGTCTGGCCGCTGGGTGGTGCTGGTGTGTTTTTTCAGAAAGCTCAGGTAAGCTTTTAGATCGTCTAAAAGTTTTTTATTTATTTATTTTTTTTTTTTTTTAAATTTTTTTATTTTTTTATTTTTTGCCCCCAAAGCCCCAGTAGATAGTTGTATGTCATAGCTGCACACCATTCCAGTTGCTGTATGTGGGACTCGGCCCCAGGATGGACAGAGAAGTGGTGCCTCAATGCGCACCCGGGATCCGAACCCGGGCTGCCAGCATCGCAGTGCGCGCACTTAACCACCAAGCCACAGGGCCGGCCCTAAAAGTTTTTTAAATAGTCTTATATTTAAACAAAATCTTTCTGAAGATGGAAGCTCATCAGTTCTTGCATTTAGCTAACCAGGTGGTGCTACTGCACGTGCAACTGCCTGGTCTCTTGGGCACCCCCTTCATTCACTTCAATATAATAGGAAGTAAATGTAAAGGTAACAGAAGCCTTGCTGCTTTCCATCTGTGATGGTCTCCATGCGCTCCTTCCCTCCTTTTTCTGCTCACTCATTTCTAGCCAGCAGAAGAAAAAGAGCAGCTGCTCCATAATGACGAGTACCAGGAGACGATGGTGGAGTCCACCTTTATGTACTTGACGCTGGACCTTCCTACCGCCCCCCTCTATAAGGACGAGAAGGAGCAGCTCATTATCCCCCAGGTGCCACTCTTCAACATCCTGGCCAAGTTCAACGGCATCACTGAGAAGGTAACCCCTCTGCATACCTGCCCTGCTGATACCCCTTTCTCTCTCTTGACTTTTTCATTTTCTTTTTATACTTAGAAATCACCTCATGTACATAATGCATTTGTTATAAAGTGTGTTGTCTTTATTGAGCGTCCCAGACTCCATACTGTTTCTAGCTGATCACCTCCAACTCTTGAGTTACAGTGCCCTCTCTTGTATTTCTCATATACCCTGTAAACCTTCTGCCTCTGGGTGGTATGGAGAAAGGAGGGGATATTTAGGACAGTAGAAACTCACAAACGTAAGAAAACCTCCCGTATTTTAAAAAATATAACACCAGTATTAAAGTGGAAAAAAAACAGAACTAAAATACAGTCGTGTCACTTAGCAGGAGTACGTTCTGAGAAATGGCATCATTAGGTCATTTTGTTGTTGGGTGAACATCATAGAGTGTGCTTACACAGACCTGGATGGTGTAGGCTACTACAAACCTAGGCTGTATGGTACTAATCTTATGGGACCACCATCGTAAATGCAGTCCATTGTTGACCAAAACATTATTATGCAGCACATGGCTGTATAAATAAATAAAATGAAATAATTTATTCTTACTGTAATATTATTCTGTATCAAGTTAAAAGTTTCTTTTTATCTGCTCAGTTAACTGTTTCTTGGTTTAATTCCCTTCTTCATCCTAACGGATTTAATCCTTTTCGATTCTTTATTGGAAGAATTTTTTTTTTCCACTTCATTTGTTTGATTGATACCATGACCCTGGGCCTTGAAAGCATTGATTTCTTTCTTTCTTTTTTTTTTTCACTTATTTTATTAAGGTCATAATCGTTTGTAACATTGTGTAATTTCAGGTGTACGTTATTATTTATCAGTTTCTGTATAGACTGCTTTGTACTCACCACCAGTAGTCTAATTTTTATCCGACACCGTATATGTGTGCCCCTTTACCCCTTTCTCCCATCGCCCCAACCCCCTTCCCTTCTGGTAACCACTAATCTGTTCTCTTTATCTGTGTGTTTGTTTATCTTCCACATATGGGCAAAATCATGCAGTATTTGTCTTTCTCTGTCTGGCTTATATCGCTTAACATCATACCCTCAAGGTCCATCCATGTTGTTGCAAATGGGATGATTTTGTCTTTTTTTTATGGCTAAGTAGTATTCCGTTGTATGTATATATGTGTGTGTATATATATATATATACACACACACCACACCTTCTTTATTCATTTATCAGTTGGAGGGGACTTGGGTTGGTTCCATGTCTTGGCTATTGTGAAAATTGCTGCAGTGAACATAAGTGTGCTTAAATCTCTTTGAATTGTTGATTTCAAGTTCTTTGGATAAAAATCCAGTAGTGGGATAGCTGGATTGTATGGTAATTCTATATTTAATTTTTTGAGAAGTTTCCATACTGTTTTCCATAGTGGCTGCCCCAGTTTGCACACCTACCAGCAGTGTCTGAGCATTCTCTTTTCTCCACATCCTCTCCAACGTTTGTTATTTTTTTGTCTTGGTAATTATAGCCGTTCTGACAAGTGTAAGATAATATCTCATTGTAGTTTTGATTTGCATTTTTGTTTGTTTTTTTGTTATTGAGTTGTATAACTTTTTTATATATTTTGGAAATGAACCCCTTGTTGGATATATGATTTGCAAATATTTTCTCCCAGTTGGTGGGTTGTCTATTCACTTTGTTCATGGTTTCCTTTGCCTTGCAGAAGCTTTTTAGTCTGATGTAGTCCCATTTGTTTTTCTTTCTTTTTTTTTGTTGATGTCTTAATCGTTTATAACATTGTAAAATTTTGGTTGTACATTTTTGTTTGTTAATCACCATGTACATGTCTCCCTTCACCACTTGTGCCCACCCCCTACCCCCATTGCCCCTGGCAACCACAATACAGTTTTCTGTTCCCATGTGTTGGTTTATATTCTACATATGAGTGGGATCATACGGTGTTTGTCTTTCTCTTTCTGGCTTATTTCACTTAACATAATACCCTCCAGGTCCATCCATGTTGTTGCAAATGGGACGATTTTGTCTTTTTTTATGGCTGAGTAGTATTTCGTTGTATTATATATACCACGTCTTCTTGATCCACTCATCAGTCGAGGGACCCCTGGGTTGCTTCCACTTCTTGGCTATATTGAATAATGCTGCAATGAACATAGGGGTGCATAAGCCTCTTTGGATTGTTGATGTCAGGTTTGTTAGATAGATTCCCAGTAGTGGGATAGCTGGATCATAGGGTATTTCTATTTTTAGTTTTTTGAGGAATCTCCATACCGTTTTCCATAGAGGCTGCACCAGTTTGCATTCCCACCAGCTGTGTATGGGGGTTCCTGTTTCTCCACGTCCTCTCCAACATTTGTTATTTTTTGTCTTGGTGATTATAGCCATTCTAACAGGCGTAAGGTGATATCTTAGTGTTGTTTTGATTTGCATTTCCCTGACGATTAGTGATGTTGAACATATTTTCATGTGCCTATTGGCCATCTGTATATCTTCTTTGGAGAAATGTGTGTTCATTTCCTCTGCCCATTTTTTGACCGGGTTGTTTGTTTTTTTGTTGTTCAGTTGTGTGAGTTCTTTATATATTATGGAGATTAACCCCTTGTCAGATATATGTTTTGCAAATATTTTCTCCCAGCTGGTGGGTTGTCTGTTCATCTTGATTCTGGTTTTGTTTGTCTCGTAGAAGCTCTTTAATCTGATAAAGTCCCACTTGCTTATTTTTTCTTTAGTTTCCCTAGTCTGAGTAGGCATGGCATCTGAAAAGATTCCTTTATGACCAGTGTCAAATAGTGTATTGCCTATATTTTCTTCCATGAGTTTTATAGTTTCAAGTCTCACCTTCAGGTCTTTGATCCATTTTGAGTTAATTTTTGTGAATGGCGATAGCAGATGGTCCACTTTCATTCTTTTGCATGTGGCTGTCCAGTTTGCCCAGCACCATTTATTGAAGAGACTTTCCTTTCTCCATTGTATGTTCTTAACTCCTTTGTCCAAAATAAGCTGTCTGTATATGTGTGGTTTTATTTCTGGGCTTTCAGTTCTGTTCCATTGATCTGTGTGTTTGCTTTTGTACCAGTACCAGACTATTTTGATTACTGTTGCTTTGTAGTATGTTTTGAAGTCAGGGATTGTGACGCCTCCAGCTTTGTTCTTTTTTCTTAGGATTGCTTTAGCCGTTCGGGGTCTTTTGTTGCCCCATATGAATTTTAGTGTTCTTTTTTCTATTTCCGTGAAGAATGTCATTGGGATTCTGATTGGGATTGCATTGAATCTGTAGATTGCTTTAGGTAGTATAGACATTTTAACTATGTTTATTCTTCCAATCCATGTGCATGGAATGTCTTTCCATTTCTTTATGTCATCATCGATTTCTTTCAATAATGTCTTGTAGTTTTCATTGTATAGGTCTTTCAGCTCCTTGGTAAGATTTATTCCTAGATATTTTTTTTGATGCAATTGTAAATGGTATTATCTTTTTGAGCTCTCTTTCTGTTAGTTCGTTATTAGCATACAGAAATGCAACTGATTTTTGTAAGTTGATTTTGTACCCTGCAACTTTGCTGTAGTTGTTGATTATTTCTAATAGTTCTCCAGTGGATTCTTTAGGGTTTTCTATATATAAAATCATGTCGTCTGCAAATAGTAAAAGTTTCACTTCTTTGTTGCCTATTTGGATTCCTTTTATTCCTTTTTCCTTTTTTTTTTTTTTTAAAGATTTTATTTATTTATTTTTCCCCCAAAGCCCCAGTAGATAGTTGTCTGTCATAGCTGCACATCCTTCTAGTTGCTGTATGTGGGACGCGGCCTCGGCATGGCCGGAGGAGCAGTGCGTCGGTGTGCACCCGGGATCCGAACCTGGGCCGCCGGCAGCAGAGCACGCGCACTTAACCGCTAAGCCACAGGGCCGGCCCTATTCCTTTTTCTTGCCTAATTGCTCTGGCCAAAACCTCCAGTACTATGTTGAATAAGAATGGCGAGAGTGGGCAGCCTTGTCTCCTTCCTGTTCTCAGAGGAATGGCTTTCAGTCTTTCCCCGTTGAGTATAATGTTGCCTGTGCCATTTGTTTTTCTTTTGTTTCTCTTGCCTAAGTAGACATGGTATTCGAAAAGATGCTGCTAAGACCTATGTCAGAGTGTAATACCTATATTTTCTTCTAGGGGTTTTGTGGTTTCAGGTCTTACGTTCAAGTCTTTAATCCATTTTGAGTTAATTTTTGTGTATGGTGTAAGATAATGGTCTACTTTCATTCTTTTGCATGTGGCTGTCTAGTTTTCCCAACACCATTAATTGAAGGGACTTTCCTTTCTCCATTGTATGTTCTTGGCTCCTTTGTTGAAGAGTAACTCTCCATAGATCTGTGGTTTTATTAAATTTCTTTTTTACCTTGATGCCTCATTCCAAACACTTTCTGCTCTTTATTAACTAAAGTTCTTTTGTTTTCAGGTATTAAATACTAACAAAAAACTAGTTAAAGTAAAAGAGGTAGTTTATTGGAAGGCATCTCTTAGGATCTTAGGAAGACTTGAACCAAGCAGGATCTGGGAAGGACAGGAACTAGAGTGATGGGGTTCTCAGAGGTGGTGGTCCATTGACTTCCCTTGCAAAGGCTGCCATTAACCTGATCTCAGCTGCTCCAGTGTGCAGGCTCTGCCGCTCTGCTCCAGGTTCCCAGGAGGGAGTTGAAAGGCCCGCTTGGATTAGGTATCGTTACTGGTCAAGGACCCTGTGAATAGGGGGTCTTTCCTTGAGAAGGGGGAATTGTGAGCTAGGGAGCCACCCCAAGAAGTCTCTAAAACACACCTCCCTGACTCCCATCACTGTTTCCGTCCAACGTCCAAGTCAGTTGTCAGGTACTGTTAGCAGACATAATAAGCAGAACAAGCCCTGGGTAACCATGTGCGGTTGCAGCTGCCCGTGTCACACACGCACAGAGACAGGTACGTGTTCCTTAGACTCATTTCATTTTTGGGAGGTGAAAGAGACACCTTAGGGCTCGCGTAGTTCAATTTTTTTATTTTATTGGTTTTAAGTGGCAGAGCTGGGAATCTAAACTCAGATTTTTCATCTGACTTGTTGACTGTGCCACTTGGTCCCTCTTATCACCGTTTATTCAAACTTAAATAATATTAAGCTTTTCATGGACCCTCAGTATTGATTTAAATTTATTCTTACTATAATAATACTTAAATTAGTATAAACATAAATGTTGGTATAAACTCCTATACCTACAGCCTTTAAGTGAGTATAAAATTTTAACAAACTTATGAGTTATATGCAGACAAAACTTTGAAACCAATAAAATTGATTAACAGTGCTATTGTGACGTGATGTTTAGCTAAAACCAAATTGCTCCTTGCTATGTGAATGTGGTACTCATGTCCATGGTGCAATTCCTCCCAGCCGTGTTTTCTCATGAACTCCTGAGAAACCTTTGAAAGTTAGGCTGTGACATGATTTAGGTATTAAATCTGTCTATCCTTCACTAGTCTGAGATAATTAAAAATTGTGCTTCTTGCTGTCACCTTGTTCATTGTTACAAATGTGGGCAGTGAAATCTTTAGGCATTTACTTGATTTTTTTAAAAAAAAGTTTTTTGCTTTTAACATGGTATTGTATTTCAACCACACTGAGATGAGTTACTTGATGCCACCAAAAAGATGTTTTCCAATGGTGCTTATACCCTTAGATGATCAGAAATTGTATTCTTGGCTATACCAGTCTGGAGAGGAGTTTCTATCTCACTGAGCTGGGACTCTTGGTTTAAATACCACAAACTTACTTTTCTTATCAAATTAGTCAATTTTTCTTTTTGTAACATTTTAGAAAAAAAATTAAAAAAAAATTTTTTTTTCTTTAGTAAATGTTTCTTCATTTGCTCTATGCCCTTAGGACCATTTCCAGAGAATTTAAATGGTGGTGGTGGTGGACATTTTTTAAAATAATTTTCACCAGTTTTGTTGGTGAACAGTTCTTTCGAGCTCCTCATGCTGTAATGAATGGAAGTGAAACTCTTACTTAATATTTTATAAGGTCATCATCCAGGTGGTTTTGCAGTATGTGTATCCTAAATTTTTTTTGGTATCTTGATTTTAAATTAAATTATTTTCCTGGGAAACTTGGGGATCCCTGAAGGGGTCTCTCATTACCTCCAGAACTCACCTACTCCAGAGAGGGATGTTCTCATTGGTATTTCCTCTCTGATTATGCCTAGTCTTTCACTCCTATCTCCTAGTTTTTACTGTACTAAATTGTATGTGCATGTTAAGGAAAAAATAAATTTGTGTTCACTAGCTTTTAAACCTTTTGGACTTGGGAGGATGTCCTGGGTCCTCCACCACTCCATCTCCTAGAACATGCTGAGTGAGTCCTCAGTAAATATTGCCTGACAGATTGCATTTGACCCACGAGTCTTGGAACCTTTGAGGAGGAAGGAACGTTAAGATGTCAGTTGACATGCTCAATGATGAGCGGCTTCTCACTGCTTCAGAAATACCTGTGTGATGGGTGCATGCATCTAATTATCAGGAAGTTCTTACTTATTTTGAATTGAGTGAGACTTTCATGGTTTTAATTCTGTAGCTTTTAACAAATCTTTTTCACTTGATATTTTTGTTTTCCTTTTAGAAACAGGTACCCACATTACTGTGATTAGAGTTCAATAGTATGATCATGAGCTGGCTGAAACACAAACCATGGTTGAGGTATTTTAGTCAGCCTTAGGCTATTCCTAAGCCTTATATGTGGTTTCTGGGATCAGGTATATTCTGAATTCTAAGTGTGAGGCAAAATTATATTAAAAACACCAAACCAAAACAAAACTCATGCACCTGCTCCAGTACTCCAACACTAATTTGATAATTTTCTTTTCTCTCTCTAGGAATATAAGACTTACAAGGAGAACTTTCTGAAGCGCTTCCAGCTCACCAAGCTGCCTCCCTATCTAATCTTTTGTATTAAGAGATTTACTAAGAACAATTTCTTTGTGGAGAAGAATCCAACTATTGTCAACTTCCCTATTACGTGAGTATTACCCTGCTTCACTTCCTCTTAGGGAGAGTGAGCCTGAATTTCTTTTCATATTTTTGTACCATTATTAATTTTGGACTGTCTTACTTGAACGTTGCAAGGAACAGAGCCTGCCTATACTATGGAAGTTAAGAGGTTTTATTGGAAGGATACGAATATTTTAGGGACCTCAAAAATAGATGTCTACCTGGAGGCAATCCCTGTTTTACCTTCTCTGCTGCTTACTGGAAAATGTAGTCTTTCAGTGCCAGGAAAAGCAGTTGATAAAAGTAGGGTAGGGCAGGGAGGATTCTGCCTGGCTTTGAAGATAATCCTGAGCAGTTAGAGTCTGTCCATCTGTTCGCTGGTCATCACATCTTCTTGCATACTGTAGTTAGGCATGGACAGTGGAAATGAGTCCAGATTTGTCTTGTGGTCTTGGGGTCTTTCTATCTTATTTTTCCCCAGAGGGTAAAATCTGGGATGTGTTCGATTTCTCCCTATTGATGAGAAAGTTATAAATTTTGATGTATGGTCTTAATTTTAATTTACCATGCAGTTCTCAGGAGACATGGGTTTTCACACTCTGAAGAAGGTATCTCTGAGAACATGGGGAAACCTGGTGGCAGGGCTGGCAGCAAGAAATGTAGGTCTCTGTGTGCTGGTGCTTAGATAAGGTGAAAGTGGAGCCCTAAGACAGTTTCTTATTGAGGAGGATTTGGATGGGTATAGGATTAACATGATGTTTAGCTCAGTATTTTTTTTTAATCTTCACAAAGTATTTGGGAGCTGTAATGGACAAATGCTCATCTACTCTTTTCTTTCTCCCTTGATTCCCCTCCATTTCCCAGTTCCCCAAACTATACCAGGATTGCCCACTTTCCCCTTTGAAAACAGTTTCACTTCTTAATTCTGTGTAGTGTTTAAGAGGGTAGTATCTAAAATTAAAGAGGCCTGAGTGCTGGACCATCCTAGTTGTGTGACTTGGGCAGGTCATTTGCATATTTTCTGGGTGTATTCTCTCATGGATAAAATGAGGGGCTTGGACTAGATGAGCCCTAGGGGTCTTTCTGGGTATAACATTTTATTGTTTCCTGTTCTGTGATCACCAAGAATCTGAGAACAGTGGGAGGTGGAGATTACAGGAGAATTTCCTTTTCTTTTCTCTCACTTTTCTTCCTGTGATCACTAGCATCTTGTTTGTGTGACAAGTAGAGTGAACCTGGGAGACATGGAGCCTAGCTCTCTGCAACTTTGAGTGGGACCACAGAGGAGCTTTCTTTGAAAGTCTGTGAGTCAGGGTTTTATTTCAGAACTGGACTCTTGTGAATTGTCACAGTCACAGTCTGTTCCTGGTAGGAAGGAGTGCTCTTGACCCTAGGGCAGCTCCAGAGGAAGGAGGACTATGTATTGATAGTAGTTCCTACTCAGTCACCACAGAAATGTCCTTACCCCATCTGTTTCTTTTATATTAGGCCTGGAGTATGTTCATTTTGCTACCAGTTGCTTTCGGATTTTTGGTAATTGTGGCTTCAGTGGTTTGTGTTTAAAGAAAGCTTGCTTTGGAGAAGTAAAGAAAAAGATTACTTCTTAATTAGTTAGCCTTTAGAGAACCTCAAACTGTGTGACTAATTCTGGAATCATGCACTTAAATTACTTTATGCACTGTAATTGCTTTCAGAGTAATACGGTTCTAGATTATCCAAAGTCCCCACTTCTTGAAAAGGACAGTTTTCGTACCTAATTCTTCTCCTGTGTTTTATTCATAACACATCATCTTTACAGGAGATTTATCAGACTTGCAGCAATTAGGTACCCTCTGCTCACTTGGAGATAGGGTTTTTGGAGCACAGGTTTAAAGTTTTGCTTCCAGCTAATTAGGTGTTCTCTGAATTGGACTGTTGTTCTGATTGGGAGGTGAATATGGTTTGCTCTTTTGCCTGTTTTCTATTCCTCATTTTGTTAATGTGATGTATCACACTGATTGATTTGTGGATATTGAACCATCCCTATGTCCCTGGTATAAATCCCACTTGATCATGGTGTGTGATCCTTTTAATGCATTGCTGTATTTAGTTTGCCGATATTTTGTTGAGGATTTTTGCATCTATATTCATCAGCGATACTGGCCTGTAATTTTCCTTCTTTGTGTTATCCTTTTCTGACTTTGGGATCAGGGTGATGTTGGCCTCATAAAATGTGTTAGGAAGTGTTCCATCTTCTTCAACTTTTTGGAATAGTTTGAGAAAGGTATTAAATCTTCTTTATTTTTTTTTTTAAAGTTTTAATTAATTAATTTATTTTTTCCCCAAAGCCCCAGTAGATAGTTGTATGTCATAGCTGCACATCCTTCTAGTTGCTGTATGTGGGACGCCGCCTCAGCATGGCCGGAGAAGCAGTGCGTCGGTGCCCGCCCGGGATCCGAACCCGGGCCACCAGCAGCGGAGCGTGAGCACTTAACCGCTAAGCCACGGGGCCGGCCCCTAAATCTTCTTTAAATGTTTGGTAGAATTCTCCAGAGAAGCCGTCTGTTCCTGGACTTTTGTTTCTTGGGAGGTTTTTGATTACTCTTTCAATCTCTTCACTTGTGATTGGTCTATTCAGATTCTCTATTTCTTTTTGATTCCATTTTGGGAGGTTGTATAAGCCTAAGAGTTTATCCATTTCTTCTAGGTTATCCAATTTGTTGGCATATAGTTTTTCATAGTATTCTCTTATATCCTTTGTATTCCTGTGGTATCCATTGTAATTTCTCGTCTTTCTAATTTTATTTATTTGAGCCTTCTCTACTTTTTTCTTAGTCTGGCTAAGTGTTTGTCAATTTTGTTTATCTTCTCAAAGAACCAGCTCTTAGTTTCATTGATCCTTTCTACTGTTTTTTGGTTTCAATTTCATTTATTTCTGCCCTAATTTTTATTATTTCCCTCATTCTGCCGACTTTGGGCTTTGTTCTTCTTTTTCTAGTTCTGTTAGGTGCAGTTTAAGGTTATTTGAGATTTTTCTTGTTTGGTGAGTTGGGCCTGTATTGCTATTAATTTCCCTCTTAGGACCACTTTTGCTGCATCCCATATGATTTGGTATGGTGTATTTTCATTTTCATTTGTCTCCAGATATTTTTTGATTTCTCCTTTAATTTCTTCATTGATCCATTGGTTGTTCAGTAGCATGTTGTTTCGTTTCCACATATTTTTCACTTTCCCAGCTTTTTTGTTGTAGCTGATTTCTAGTTTCATAGCATTATGGTCCAAAAAGATGCTTGATATGATTTCAGTCTTAAATTTATTGAGGCTTGCCTTGTTTCCCAACACATGGTCTATCCTTGAGAATGTTCCATGTGCACTTGTGTATTCTTCTGTTTTTGGATGGAGTATTTTGTATATATCTATTAAGTCCATCTGGTCTTGTTTTTCATTTAATTCCACTATTTCCTTGTTGACTTTCTGTCTGGATGATCTATCTGTTGATGTAAGTGGGGTTTTAAGGTCCCTTACTATTTTTTTTTTTTTTTTTTTTTTAAAGATTTTATTTTTATTTATTTTTTCCCCCCAAAGCCCCAGTAGATAGTTGTGTGTCACAGCTGCACATCCTTCTAGTTGCTGTATGTGGGACGCGGCCTCAGCATGGCCGGAGAAGCAGCACGTTGGTGCGAGCCCGGGATCCGAACCCGGGTCGCCAGCAGTGGAGCGCGCTCACTTAACCACCAAGCCACGGGGCCGGCCAAAGGTCCCTTACTATTATTGTGTTGTTGTTACTATCTCCTTTTAGGTTTGTTAATAGTTGCTTTATGTACTTTGGTGCTCCTGTGTTGGGTGCATATATAAGTGTTATGTCTTCTTGGTGGAGTGTCCCTTTTATCATTATATACTGCTCCTCTTTGTCTCTCATTGCCTGTTTTATCTTGAAGTCAACTTTGTCTGATATGAGTATGGCAACACCTGCTTTCTTTTGTTTGCCATTAGCTTGGAGTATCGTCTTCCATCCCTTCACTCTGAGCCTGTGTTTGTCTTTAGAGCTGAGATGTGTTTCCTGGAGGCAGCATATTGTTGGGTCTTATTTTCTAATCCATCCCACCACTCTGTGTCTTTTGATTGGAGAATGCAGTCCATTTATGTTTAGAGTGATTATTGATATATGATGGCTTAATGCTGCCATTTTATCACTCGTTTTCCGGTTGTTCTGTATTTCCCTTGTTTCTCGTCCTGTGTATTTTGGACTACCAATTCAGTTTGGTAGTTCTCTATGATGGTTTTCCCAGTTTTCTCTTTATTTATCATTTGTGTCTCTATTCTGATTATTTGTTTAGTGGTTACCATGAGGTTTGTATAAAAAAATCTTGTAGATGAGGTAGTCCATTTTCTAATAGTCTCTTATTTCCTTAGTCTAAGCCGATTCCATCTCTTTCTTCTTCCCCAACTGAGTTATTGTTGTCACAACTTATTCCATCTTGTGTTGTGAGTTTATGGTTAAAATGATGAGATTATGTTTATTTTTGATGTTTTCCTTCCTTTTATCTTTAATGTTATAATTGTTTGCTAACCTCTTCTGATAGAGAGCTGCAATTTTCTGATTTTGTCTACCTATTTATCTTCTTGCTCAGGGCTTTGTAAACCCCCCGCTTTTTTTTTTTTTTTTTTAAGGTATGAGGACCTTCTTGATCATTTCTTGTGGCGGGGGCATCTTGTAGCGATGAACTTCCTTAGCTTTTGTTTATCTGGGAAAGTTTTTATTTCTCCATCATATCTGCAGGATGTTTTTGCTGGATAGAATATTCTTGGCTGAAAGTTTTTGTCTTTCAGAATTTTGAATATGTCATTCCACTCTCTCCTAGCCTGTAAGGTTCCTGCTAAGAAATCCACTGAAACCGTGATAGGGGTTCCTTTGTAAGTTATTTTCTTCTGCCTTGCCGCCCTTAATATTTTTTCTTTGTCATTGACTTTTGCCAGTTTTACTACCATATGCCTTAGAGAAGCTCTTTTTACCTTGATATAATTAGGAGTTCTGTTAGCTTCTTTTACTTGTATTTCCAGCTCCTTCCCCAGGTTTGGGAAGTTCTCAGCTATTATTTCTTTGAACAATCTTTCTGTTCCGTGTTCCCTCACTTCTCCCTCTGGAATATCTGTAATCCTTATGTTGCGTTTCCTAATTGAGTCGGATATTTCTTGGATAATTTCTTCATTTCTTTTTAGTCTTAGTTCTCTCTCCTACTCCATCTGAATCATTTCTATATTTCTGTCCTCCAAATTGCTACTTCTGTCCTCCATAATATCAGCTCTGTTAATCAGGGACTCCAGATTTTTCTTTATCTCATCCATTGTGTTTTTCATTTCCAACATTTCTGATTGGTTTTTCTTTGTAGTTTCAATCTCTTTTGTGAAGAATTGCCTCTGTTTATTAATTTCATTCCTGATTTTATTGAACTTGTATTTTCTTGTAACTTGTTTTTTTATGATAGCTATTTTGAATTTTCTGTCATTTAGATTGTAAATTTCTGAGCCTTCAGGATTGATTTCTGGGTACCTGTCATTTCCCTTTTGGTCTGGAGTATTAATATATTTCTTCGTACTATTTGATGGTGTGGGTTTGTGCCTTCACATAGTGATAGTATTTGGTCGCAGATTCCAGCTGCCACCACTAGGGGGTGTCAGGAGCTGTGTATTCTGAGCCTGCCACAATCCCTGGGGTCTGTGCCTGTCCTTTGGAATCTATGCTGACAGGGCCACCTGCAGTTGCTGGCTTGCTTGCTCACAGCTGCTGCTTTTCTAACCTGTGTGCGGGCACTCTGGCTGACCGGCTGAGCTGGAGGGCCAGGCTGGGGGAGGGGGCGCTCTCTTTCACGTGTGCCATCCCAGGGGCATTCTCACTCTGCCCTCGCTATCTGCTCTCCTGGGGTGCTGGCTTGATGAAGATACTCCCACAATAGCTTAGCCACCTCTGTGTGGGGCTTTCCCACAGGCTGTGAGGGAACTTGAAGACCGAAGGTGTTCCCACAGAGAGCTGCCTCCTGCCTCATTTCTCAGAGCTGGGCGCAGTCCCGTTTCCTGGGTCGCCACCGGCAGGGGAGAGGAGATCCCCTTACCTCCTTCCACTTCCTCTGGGGGGTCCAGCACCTCCACCTTCAGGCATATGGTTACTTGGGTCTCTCAGACGTCTTTTGTGTTGTGTGAATGTCCTCTGTTTGTTTATGAACATCCTTTTTGTTGTATCTTCGTGGGGAGAGTCTAAGGGAAGAGCTCACTCATCAGCATCAGCCATGATGCTGATGTCACTCTCTTTGCCTGTTTTCTTTTTTTTTTTTTTAATAATTTTATTTATTTATTTATTTTCCCCCAAAGTAGATAGTTGTATGTCATAGCTGCACATCCTTCTAGTTGCTGTATGTGGGACGTGGCCTCAGCATGGCCAGAGAAGCGGTACGTCAGTGCACGCCCGGGATCCGAACCCGGTCCGCCAGCAGCAGAGCGTGCGCACTTAACCGCTAAGCCACGGGGCCGGCCCCGCTTTGCCTGTTTTCTAAAACAAAATGATTTGACGTGTATTCATTCCCTTTTGCCACTTAAACAGTTTAGTTTCATTCATGAAAACTTGAGTGTAAATACTCCTAAAGATTTCTGTAGGACTTGTTCAGCCAAGTCTGGACAGCTGTTAAAGCTGAGAAGAAAACAACAGGAGAAGGTACTCTTAGCAGCCAGCAGGCAGTTTGGCTATCTAGAGCTCATGTGGATTTCTTAGGACTCATGTTTAAATTATCTTTAACAGTGAATATTTATTGTAATCTATATGGGACACTGTCAGTCTGTAGAAATAAATAGCTATCACTAACACATAGAAACCTACATAATATAATTAGAGCAAAGTTGCATGTTTATTACTACATGGTTCACATTGAAACCATTTTGTATTTTTGGATAGGTGATAGATTCACTAGTCTAAAATTCAAAGGGAGATACAAACCTAGAAGTCACCACTGTTAGCATTTCTTGTGAATCCTTCCAGAGATGACATTATTGTATTTCTTCTTGTGAGTGGTGGCATATCACAGTTCTACAGAGATTAGAACTATGATACAATCTCTTTTATTCTACTATGTATTATTTAAATTTCTGTATATTTCTAGGCTACAAAGGGATATATTTTTCTTAAAATTATGTAGTTGACATATTCTCTTAATATTCATGTTAACTGTCGATCTCTTTAACTATTAGAAAGGTCTTAATAATTGTCTTTGTACAATCTTCACAGTAGGCATTTATTATAGCACTTTACTTTGCAGTAACTTACTGTGTACATTTATACTTCAGCTCATGGATAGAATTCAACACACAAAACACAGAAGGAGATTTTATTCCAGGTACATGAAGAATGCTTCTCTATATTTGAAAGTGAAAGTTCAGATATTAAAAATAAATCTGATGAGTCCCAGTTGAAGGAACCTAGTCAGTAGTGTCTTTTGGCAGCCAGGACTGAGAGATTGGAAGCTGTAGGGTAGCCCAGATGGGTCTATGAAGAAGAGACAGCTGGACTGCAAATGGGGGGAGAAGAATAAAGCTGATGTCAGAAGCATAAGAGGGCAAGTAGCTCTCTTGGATCCTGCTTCTTCTCCAGTGCCTGGTTCCAGCTGCATTTCCTAGTGTGAAAACCTTGAATAAATTCCTCTTTTGTGCTTAAGCTACCTTGGGTGGGTTTCTGTTACTTGTAACCATTCTGCTTACTTGACTAAAAGAAGAAAAATCAAATAAAGAAACAAGGTCTCAGAAAATAAAAGAAAAACATAAATCTGGATGATCTGCCTGGTCTGTCATATTGAGATTTTGTTACAGCAGTTATATACCGTGGTGACCCACATAATTATGTGGTCAGGTCTTCCATAGGCTGAGGCCAGAGCCTGGGTGTTGCCTGAACACTGCAGCTGCAGCTGATTCCCACATAGGGCAGAGGGTGGGGTGGTTATACCTGTCCTCTCACTTAATCCTCACCATCTCAGAGGAGACAGTGACTCTCGTTCTCATATCATAGAAGAGGCTTAGGTTGTAACCTTATCACACACAGTTCTGAAGTGGCAGAGCCCAGATTCCAGTTCAAGTCTGAATTACTCCAGGCCCTGCACTTTTAGCTGCTAGGCATGCTTTTAAAATGTGCTTTTCCCATAGAGCCTATCTTTCTAGTTTGACTAAAAAGCCTCATTTTTATGGTAAATTATGTGAATTCCCACAAACCTGGGCTTCCGTGGCTCTGCAAGCCTCTTTCAAGCCAGGGTCCTAAAGTCAGGTTCAACAGTTGTGTGATCCATTTGTGTAAGACAGTTTCCCTAACCTTGTTGCCTTTGTCTGATTTTCTGGCTTTATTTTCATCATCACCAGAAATGTGGATCTGAGAGAATACTTGTCTGAAGAAGTACAAGCAGTACACAGGAATACCACCTATGACCTCATTGCCAACATCGTACATGATGGCAAGCCCTCCGAGGGCTCCTACCGGATCCATGTGCTTCATCATGTGAGTGGTGCTCACTTGTCATTGCCCAGAGTAGCAAAAACAGGTTTTGTTCCTTTGGCATTTCAGAGGGCAGCTCCTTTCAGTTTGCCCTTTCTTGGCCTTGACTTTGGGACTCTGCAAGTAATAGAGCTGTCAGTGGTTAGTTTAAGACAGTGGTTCACAATTTTGGCTGCACGTTGGACTCACCTGGGGAGATTTTGAAAAGTTCTAATGCCTGGGCCCTACCCCAGGCCAGTTACATTAGAACAATGTAATTTGTGCCTGTTGGTTTCCAACTGGGGTAGAGGCCAGGGATGTTGCTAAATATCCTACAATGCACAGGGCAGCTCCCACAACAAAGAATTTTTTGGCTGAAAATGTCAGGTAAGGTTAAGAGACTCTGCGTTAGATTATCCAGAAGTGGACCCAGGCATTGTGATGTTTTAAAGTTTCTTGGGATTCCAGTGTGCAGCCAAGTTTGAGAATCACTGTCCCAGACTAGAGTCTTAGTAGGATTCTTGGACCAGCAGCAGTGGCATCATCTGAGAGCTTGTTAGAAATGCAGAGTTTCAGGCCCACCCAAACCTACTGAATCAGAGGTTTTTAATTTTAATAAAACCCTCTGATTTGTATGAAATTAAAGTTTATAAAGCACTGGTGTAGAGGTTCTCTTTCAGCTAAAAAAAATTTTATGAATTTATCTCAAGCTGAAAATGGATGAAACGTGTACTTAAGACCTATTTGGTATCACACAGATCTTAGAACGTATTGTTCTAGTTTATTAGTCTTTTCTGGGACTGTGGTTTAATAATAACTAGCTTCTGTTTATCAAGCACTTTACTGTGTGCTAGAAAGTACACCAAGTGCTTAATGTATATTCTTCTCATTTATGTCCTTAAAACGCACCTCCAAGACAGGTGTTAATACCATCTTTTTTACAGATGAGGAAACCTAGGCTCAGAGTTCGAGTACTTTATCTGAAGTCAGTAGAATTGGGATTTGAAGCCAGGTACTTGGTTTCACCATGTTCTTAACCAGTCCTTGAGGGGGACTTGATTGTGTGATCCCGAGCTTTCTTTATGTTTCCTATATCCTGAGCTATTGGAATATGCAGACTATCTGGAATGTCTGTCTTCTATAGTATCTGTCTTTGGCATTTCTTAGAAGTTTGGATGGGTGAGACAGGAGGGCTTCCAGAAGTGCCTCGCCCATAATCCAGAAACCTTTTTTCTCCTTGTTTATGGAAGCATGGAATGAGGTAGATTTTGCTGTGTTCACAGCAGTGGTTTCATAGGCCAAAGGAAACGGGTTAGTATGATGGACAGTGTCCACTAAGGACACTTTTTCTTGACTGACTATTGCTGTGTTTTCTGGAGTGAGGGTGGGAATGTCCACTTTTAGGTTCTCCCCAGAGTTAACACTGCACCTCTTAGGTGAGTGTGTCTAGTCTGTCATTTCTGAGCAGCAAGGAGATATCTTATGTGATAAATAGGGGGTTTCCTCTTTTTTTCTCTTTGTTGTCCACCTAAATTCTTTTTAAAAGGTGTACAGAAGTGTTTGAGACTCCATTGTACTTTAAGGAATCCTTGGCAGGAATCAAGTTTGCCATGATCAGTACCCCAAAATGTCTTTAAATTGAATGATGAGGTCATGCACCCTCTTACTTCTGACTTGCTGAGTGATGGTCTACTGGCTTTTCTTCTGATTTTTCTAACTTTTGGCTGTGATCCCTTCCTTCTGCACCCTTTTGGTTTTAGGGAGCAGACTAACCCAGCCCTTCATACATTTTGCAGGGGACAGGCAAATGGTATGAATTACAAGACCTCCAGGTGACTGACATCCTTCCTCAGATGATCACGCTGTCAGAGGCTTACATTCAGGTGAGTCGGCCGCAGACTTGCTGAGCACCAAATAGCTGGGGTGTGGGGCTTGTGAGAGGAATGACGTGGGCAAAGGCAGGAGGTGGGATTGAGTTAGAGCCTTGGTTAGGCTGGGTGCCTGGTTGGATGCACTGAGGAGTGAGGTGGGGCCAGATTATACGGCCCTGAAAGTCAAGTGATTTTCAGAGAAGAGCAGGGAAGTCTGGAAGATTTGTGAGTGAGTGAGGAGGTTATGTTTATGGCCAGGTTATTTTGGCAGAGGTGTGTGGTCTGGTTTCAGAGAGGAAGAGCCTGAAATCACTAGAGGGGCCAGCTAGGAGTCATTGCTGAAGCTTTCCGCAGCTCTCTAGGCAAAGTTAGCACTCGTGACCCCACAGCACGTTTTGCCTGTGTTTACTGGAACACTGATCGTATTTGAACTGTCTTCTCCATTGGATCGAGAGCTCATGGAGCACAGTATTTCTGTCTTCTCTCTCTACCTGCCCTAGTACCTGGCCAAGGAGGAAGATGGAGACTGAGAAAAAACTATAGCTTTGTAAAGAAGAGAGACATCTCTCCTTCTAGAGAAAACTCTTTTCTCAGTGCTTTATCTAAGGTTGTAGGCTTGACTGAGAGTCCTTTTTTAGAATGGGAGTTTGGAATGGGAGCTAAGAAAGAGAGTGAGGGGAGTGGAAAATGAAAATTGAATGAAAGAGAATTTTCTGAAAGATTATGAGTTAGTTTCTGGAGATTTAGTAATATGTAAGTGGGGCGACAGGTTGTCCATTGCCTAGTGCAGAAAAGGTACTTGGTAAATATTTGTGGATTGAATGTCAGCTCTTAAATACCTTTTATATTCATTTCTTACAGATTTGGAAGAGGCGAGATAATGATGAAACCAACCAGCAGGGTGCTTGAAGGAGGAGTCTGCGGTTTTGTTCTGGGTGCTTTTGACTGAAGATGGTAAATAAGAATACTGAGGTGTCATTGCACAGAGGCTGACTCACACATTCCTTGGGCCAGCCCAGTTTTTATGGGTTCTGGTTCAGACCCGAGCATCAGAGGGGCCCACTCGCCTGGGATGGCTCTGCGCTGTCACCCAGCTGTTCTTTGATCAATTTATTGTAGATTGATGCTTCTTTCTCCTTCCTGTCCAGCTGCCTTCTAGCTTCAGCAGGCCAGAACTCTCTTACAGTTGTATGTAATTTATTTCTGAGTAGCTGGGACTATCTGAAGGACAAGATAATTTCTTCTAAATGTCAAAGCCTCAGTATTCTAGGAATAAGAGCAAAAAGCCGGTAACGTCCTTCTTCTATCATAGGTAGATAATTTTCCTGTGATTCTCTTTATTTCCTGATGTGTTTATTGGAGTGGATTAAATATTTTTCTGTTTTTAAACCAGTCTCTTGTTTTATATCCTTCTCTTAGGCTACTTCCTAAGGGAAGGATTTTTTTTTTTAATCCTCACCACTGTCTACCCTACAGTCTGTCATCTGGTGGACATGATGCTTGTCTCTTCCTGTCAGCTTGTGGGTGGTATATCAGTTCGGATGCATTTGTCTCTAAGTAACAAAATATCTGAGAAAGTGATAAATTATTCTTGTGCTTGACTAGAAGTCTGGAGGTGTGGGCAGTTTCAGCCTGCAGTGTAGTGCTGCGTGAGGGAAGAGGGAAGGAAGGAAGGTGGGAAGAGCATCTGACTGCAGTGTAGTTCTGAGAACATCTCAGCCAGACCAGTGAGGAGCCCAGAGCAAAGATTGCCTGTTAGAAGATTGAGCAGACATGGCTTTTGTCAAGCTCAGTCATTGATTAGGAGCAGCCTGGAGGAAGTGTGGCCTCTGCCTGAGCACTGTGGCAGATTTGAAAATGTGAGAAGTCTGAAGACACCAACTGGCAGCAGTCAGTCAACTATAGCAAGTTCTCTTCAAGGGAGGTAGGAGCTGTGCACTTCTGTGGTGGCCACCCTTTCCTTCTGGGACACCATACTCGCCTTATTTTCCTCTACCTCTCTGACAGCTTCCATATTTCCTTTGCAGGCTCATCTTGCTCTATCCAGCCATTTAAGGTTGTGATTCCTCAAGACACAGTGCTAGGCCCTCCCTTCTCGCTGTTTACTTTTTCCCTAGGCCATTTCAACTATGCCTGTGGCTGCACTTATCACCTTCAGGGCAATCACTCAAACAAATCTTAATTCCATACTTCTCTCAATTTTTGAAGTTTAGAGCCAGTTGATAGATTTTGGATGTCTTAAAGTCAATTTAAACTCAACATTTTTCCAAACAGCTTATGAGTTTTCTCCTCAAACTTGGCCTCTTTCCAGTGGTTTCTATGTAGGTGAAAGGTTCCATCATCCGTCCAGTTATATAAGCTGAAATTTATCCAGGAGTCATCCTTCCCCTACCCCCACTTCCCCTGTCTAATCTATTACCATGTCCTGTCAATTTTACTCTGTAATTGTCTCTTGAATCTCCCCACTTCTTTTCATTCTCTGCCACTGTCTAGTCTAGGCTAGTGCCAGCCTAGTCCAGGTCCAATCAGGAGAGAGAAGCCATGCAATAATTTGATCAGGGAAAGTTTAATTTCAAGAATTATCAACTATAACAGAGGATTGGAGTAACCAGGGATTAGCTAGTAATAAGAGAACTCTAAAGAATATAGGAATAGCAGATATAAGGAACAGCTGCTACCCCTAGGGCTGACAGAGTGTCCAAGGCTGAGATCCAGACCTTGCTGAAAATCTGCTCCCTGGAACTTGTCAGAAATCTGCTCTCTACTGCATTGGGGAAAGCACATTATGGGGAGGCATCTCACTCTGCTACCTGACTGCCTGGGGAGGAGGGCAGTGCCCAGTGAAGCTGCTGGGTACTGGGTGCTGCTGTGCACCGCAGGAGCCAGGCACCAGAGAATCTGCGAGCACAGCAGGAGCTGATGCTGGATGCCTGCTTTCAAGTAAGCACCCTGGGACTGGGAAGGAAAGCCCTGGCTTCCTGCCATTGTCTCCACCACCCTCTTCTGACAAAGCTTCAATGGCTCTGGCAAGAAAAAAATCTAAAAGACCCAAATCCCTTTTCACAGAGCAGGCAAAAAGGGTGAATTTGAAGCTGAGAGGCACTACATTGCTAACTGCCACAGTCCCCCTCTTCGATGACTCAGCCTCCAAGTGCACTCTTACACACACGTCAACGCCCATGCAACAGCAGCAATAGCAGGAAAACAACTCCGTATTCTGCCTAACAAAAAACAGCTACCCTTACAAGTGAACAAGTTTCCACCCTTTCCCAGAATGAGATGCACAGCCCCAAGAGTCCTGTATCCATTGATGGCTACACTGGTTACTCCTCAAATCCAGTCACAGTCCCACTGAATATTCTGTTGCCTAAAGACTAAGATGTAAAGTTAACTTCCAATTTGTATGAAAAATAAAAATGGAAAGAAGAGAGAAAAAATGGTTAGTATATATGAATTATCATATATGTATAACAAGCAAATAGAAAATAAAGCTACTTACAGTCCTCATTTGTGTAATTGGTCACAATGCTGTAATTGATATCTGTGCTTCCTTCTCCCTCTACCCCTTCCACGTTTACTCTGCCCTTACATGAACCTCAGTCGGGGTTCTTTACCTGGTAGAGTGACCCAAACCTTCCGTTCCTAAGGGCCTGACTCCTTAATCATCCTGCCCGTCCTGCCCGCCCCCCTTTATCTTGGTTGCTGTAGTTTTCCATTAAACTTTACTGGGGATGTAGTCCATCTTGTGTCCATTGTGTAGGAGCAACCCAATTTCTGCTTGGTAATCAGGATCAGTCACTCTGACAAGTAGATTACACTCTCTCACTCCACTTTTTTTTTTTCCTGTTTGTTCAGTAGCATAAGGAGCCTCAAATGCCCAGGTGGTAGTGTCATCTTCTAATTTAGTGGAACCATTGTTGTGTCCTCTGGTGGAAATATTCCTCCCTTGAGAACTAAGATCTCCAAACCAGCAGAGCTTAAAGTTACTGAGACAGGAAGCAAAAATTCTGCAAGAAGGTTATTAGGTGTAATAGACAAGTCGCTTCAATATCCACCCATTTTCTAGACCCGTGTATTTTGCCTATGGGGGAGAGAGCACCACATAATGGTCTCTGATTCAAGGAATATACTGGATCCTGTAAAACGAGCATCAAGTGGTACTCTGACAGTTTTCAGTAAGCCACTCAACCTTTCAGTTAGGCTTGCTGCTTCCAGATGATGGTGTATGTGGTAAGACCAGTTAAATCTATGGACTTGAGCCCATTGCTGCGCTTCCTTTGCTGTGAAAAGAGTTCCTTGATCAGATGCAATGCTGTGTGGAATGTCATGATGGTTGATAAGGCATTCTGTGAGCCAATGGATGATGGTGCTGGCAGAAGCTGTTATGGGCAGGGAAGGCAAATCTGTATGCAGAATATGTTTCTATTTCTCTGAGGACGGATCTCTGCCTCCTCTGTAATAGAAGATGGTAATCAGCCTGGCACCAGGTGGCTAGCTGATCCCCACAAGGCATGGTGCCATACTGGGGACTCAATGTTAATCTCTGCTGTTGGCAAGTTAGATACTCAGCAGAAGTACTACTCAGGTCAGGGGAAGGGAAGTCCATGTTGAGCCCATGCATAGCCTCCATCCCCACTACCATGGCTCCTGAGCTCATTGAGCAAGCGCTGGGGGTGGCTGAAGAAAGAGGCTGCTGGCTGACATCCAGAGAGGATGTGATTAAGAGCTTATTATACACCTCTTTATTAAGAGTCTTCTCTGCAGTGGATGCCTTTTGGTGGACATTCATATGGAACACAAATATTTTCACAGTATATACTCATTCAAGTAGTCTATCAATGTACCTCTTCCGCAGACTTCTTTTCACCAGTCTTACAATCCTGTTCCTTCTGAATCCCTGACAATCCAGCCAAACCATTGGCAACTGACCATGAATTAGTCTAGATCTGTACTTCTGGCCATCTCACACTTCAAATACAGTGAATAACCAAATACATTGCTTGAAGTTATGCCCAGTAGAGCATTTTCCTTCACTTCTGCCCTTCGATGTCATCCTGAGTGGGGATGAAGTGCTGCAGCTGTCCACTTGGGAGTTGTACTAATCCATTTAGAAACCAGGCTTGAGTTTTGTCTTCCTTGGTCAACTGGTCTTAAGGAACACCCCAGGAGGCAATGGAGTAGGAGTTGGTACCAAGGGAATCTGAGCCACCTGCTCATGTAACTTGTGCCTTTTGGATTTGCCTGAGCTTGGTCTCATATGCTAGTTCCGTTTAATGATAGGCTGCAGCTGCACGTGCCCAACGTTATGGCTAGGCGTCAGACAACAGCCAGTTCATGAGGAGGCTTGGGATGCATGGTTACCCGATGTCCCATGGTTAGGTACTCAATCTCTACTATGGGCCAGCAGCTAGCCAGAAGAAGCCATTTCTCAAAAGGAGAATAGGTATCTGCAGAAGAAGAGGACATAGACTTGCTCCAAGATCCTGGAGTTCTGCACTGTGGTTCTCCTACTGGTCTTGCCAGAGGGTCCATACAGCATTCCTATTTTCCATGGACACTTGGAAATATCATTGGATCTTCTGGGTCATAGGGCCCAAGTGGTAGAGCAGCCTGTTCTGCAGCCTAAACTTGCTGCAGAAACTTCTCTTATTCTGGTCTCCTTGGAACTAGTATCTGTACAGCTGTAAGTGACTCTCTAGATGGGTCAAAGTAGCACACTCGAATGTGGTATGTGTTGTCTCCAAAAGCCAAAAAAGCCTACCAGTGTGTTGCCTTTTTTGTGTCTGTGTGTGGTAGGCGATATGAGGTACAGCAACTTGTCTTTCACCTTGGATGGGACATTTTGACATATTCGAGACCACTGACCATCAAAACTTCACTGGGGTGGCAGGTCCCTGAATTATGGGGTTAAATTCCACCCTCTTGTTTGCTTCTGTCTTACTAAGACATTTAAAGTATTTGGTACTTCCTGCTCATCAGATCCAGTCATCACGATGTCATCAACGTAGTGGACTACTGAGGTGTTTTCTGGAATGTCAAGGCGATCAGGGTGTCTGTGAACTATATTGTGGTGGAGAAATGACATTGTCTGAGGCAACACTGAGACGTATACTGTTGGCCCTGCCAGGTAAAAGCAAACTACTTCTGATGATCTTTATTTAGAAATTCGTATGGAGAATAAAGTTTACAGGTGCCAGGGGCTGTGTTGTATCAGTAAAGATGCTACATCTGGGACAACAGCTTCAACTGGAGTCACCCTCTGATTAATTTTGTGATTGTCTGCAGTCATTCTCCAAGATCCATCTGACTTCTGCACAGCCCCTCTGCCACTGTCATTCTAGTCTAAGCTATTGCCAGTTTCTATTTACAATGGTCTCCAAGCAGGTTTCCCCACATTCCTTTGTCTCCTCCCCCCAATTCATTCACACTTTATCCAGAGTAATCTTTTAAAACACACATCTAACCAAGTCGTGTCTCCCTCAAACCCTGATCTCTCACTTAAGACACTTCCCTGGCTCTTAGGGTAAAGACTGAAATCCTTGGCCTCTCTAGCCTCTCCTCTGGGGAAGTTTCTCCCGGTACTCCAGCCCAGGCTCACTGACTTTCATTCTGTTGCTCAGATGCCACAAGACACAAGGCCTTTGTGCTGTCTGCTTCCTCCGCTAGGGACGCTCTTCCTTGCTCTTTGAACCCTTGATCTCTCTGACCTCTCATATCTACTCAGTACCATGTGTATCTCTAATTGTTAGCACTTACCGCACCTGAAGTATTCCATGTTTTTCTGTGATTCTGTGATTAATGTCTGTCTTCCCAACTAGACTCTTAAGTTCCCAAAGGGCATACAGGCACTGTTTGCTTTTGTGCTCAGCTCTAGGGAAACGCTTGGCACTTAGGAGTCAGTCGCTAATGACTGTTGAGCAAATGGCGTAGTGCTAAGTCTGTGTTCTCTGTATCCTTCTTTTGCACAGATGATTTTGTCTCTTTACACTCTCTCAAGATGTTGATAGTAGATACTGTTGCCTGAAAGGTTGGAGACCACTGCTCAGAGCTGTCATGTCCTGTGTGTAGTAGCTTAAGAACTTTGTGGTTGACACATGGCTTGCTTCCACCACTGCTGTCTAAGTTGGGGGCCTTGCCCACATGTCTTTACAGCTCTGATCCCAGCATACGCTTCCTCTTTTGGAGACTTCACATTCTGGCCACTCTAACCACAGATGAGAAAGAAGTGAAATTCATGCTTTCTTAACGAGAAATCACAAAGAAAAAGACAGATACATGTAAAACATATCCTAAACCTAAAAGACATACGATAGGAGAAAATTTGCAACATATAGGACAGTAAATAAATGAATATACCTGATATATTTTTTCTGGTAAGATGATAAAAAGTACACTCCAATGGAAAATCAGACAAAAAAGCCAAATAGAACTTTCATGAAGGATAAAATATAAATGGCCAATAAACGTGTAAGAAAAATGTTTACTTAGTAACCAAAGAAACGCAAATTAGAACAACCAGAGGTCATTTTTATATTTTAGATTAGCCAAGATTTGAGAGATTGCTGATACCCAGGATGGTGAGAGTGGAAAAGAAACACTTGTTCACTACTGGGATAGAAATTGGTGTGGCCGGTACAGAGGGGCGGTTTGGCAATACAACCTGTATTAAAACTAAAGATGTGTAGGGGCCAGCCCAGTGGTGTAGTGGTTAAGTTCGCGTGCTCTGCTTTGGCGGCCCAGGGTTTGCAGGTTTAGATCTCAGGCGCAGACCTACACACCGCTCATCAAGCCATGCTGCAGCGGTGTCCCACATACAAAATAGAGGAAGATTGGCACAGATGTTAGCTCAGGGACAATCTTCCTCACCAAAAAATAAAAATTAAAAAAATAAAGATGTGCATAGTTTTTGTCCCCAAAATTTCATTTCTTGGAATTGATTCTAATGAATAATCAGACTAGTAAACAAATATGTAAAGTGCCAGGATTTTTATTCTTCACAACATTGTTGATAATGATTGTTTAAAAAAGGAAAGAGTTTATATCAAGAAAAAAAGTGATTCAGCAAGTAGCAGTGATGACAGATATCTATATTTATTGACCTGGAAAGGTTATTTTTAAATGAACAAAACAGTTTTCAAAGCAGCATGTATAGGATGTTCCTGTTTTTGTAAATCTGTTATATCTTTTTGTATATGTACAGAGAAAGGTTTGGAATGATATATAACAAAATGTTATAAAATGATTGTTGTGGCTTGTAAACCTCAGTATTAATCAGGGGGACAAAACATAACTGTCTTTATTTCTCTATATCTGAACTCATTTTGGTTCATAAGCCCCCAAAACTTAATATTTCCATTTGAAAATAACTCAGTCCCTTGTTTAATACTCAGCCCCTCTTGGATAACTAACCACTGAATCCTCCTTCCCTTTTCCCTGGGAATGATTTCAGATGGCCCTGTCATGAGGACAGATGTCAGTGCTGTGCTCTCCCTGGTCCTCCAGGTCTCCACCGAAGCGTCACTCGTCTTGCCTGATCTCCCCTTTCTTGTGCCAGCATTGGCTACACTTGTCTGACTTCTGCTCCTCTCAAGGTCCACAGAATCTGTCAATGCTTTGTCTCTAGTCATGGGCTCTTGTGGGCCCACCATCTTGTCCAGAGCCGATTCTGACAGCCCCTTGGGTCATGGGGTGTGGTTGCTCTTCTGTATCATGCTAGGGCACCCTCTGAGGAGGTCGTCAGGCCTGGCTGTCTAGGTCCTTCTTTGAGGCTGTGCTGTACACTCTTTCTGATGTCTTGTTGGAGGCAGGCTTCTCTAAGGGGCTCGTGTTCTCCTCACACTACACCCTGGAAAGTGAAGATCAAGTCCCCTCTGCTCTTGGGCCCTAACCTCTCCTGGAGTTTCTCCTTCCCCACCTTCCTCTAGGGGTGCAGGATGCTGGGCACGTCTCAGGGACCCTCAGAGTCTCAGCTGTAGCCACTTCCTGCCACTTCTCTCTTCCCAACCTTCTAACCTTGCTGGTTAACTCCTGATCTCATTTTGAGTGAAGCCTCCTCTTGCATTATCAAGAGCTCATTTCCACACTTGCTTTTGGGATAAACTATTAATGCCTCCCCTCCTTCAGGCTTTGGCTCTTCGTCTTCCCAATCAGGCTATTTAAAGAATTTAAAACATTCTTCTCTCAGGGACTTTGGTCTTGTAATTGAAATAATGGCTTTCAAGACAATAGTCTGCTATAGATTTACAGAAGTCTACTTAAAAGTTCAAATTCAGGGGCTGGCCCAGTGTTGTAGTGGTTAAGTTTGCACACTTCGCTTTGGTGGCCCAGGGTTCACAGGTTTGGATCCCGGGTGCGGGCGGATGCACCGCTCATCAAGCCATGCTGTGGCGGTGTCCCATATACAAAATAGAGGAAGATGGGCACAGATGGCAGCTCAGGGCCAATCTTCCTCAGCAAAAAGAGGAAGATTGGCAACAGATGTCAGCTCAGGGCCAATCTTCCTCGGCAAAAAAAAAACAACAACTTCAAATTCAGAGGCCAAGGATTTGTGTATATCAGCCCTACATCAGGAGCAGGGTGTATAGAAAGCTTTCCCTGGTGCTTGAAGGGTGGAGGTGTGGGGACAATGGATTGAAAAAGTCTAGCTCAGTGTCAAAATACACATCCACCTATAGTTCTCTCCTGGGATTGGGAGGATTGTGGGTTATTTCCACTCTTTCTTGGTCTGCAGTTTCTGAATTTTCTACAATAAACATGTATTTTTTTTATAATAGGAAATGTAGTAACAAAAGTTCTTTTGTAAATAAAGGGACTCTTCCAGACATTTAAGTGTTTAATGCTAAAGGTTTATTTGGTTTTTTGTATGTTTTGATTTTTTTTGTACCCTAACAACCTCACCTCATCACTGTGCGTGGACTCTTTGGGAGAGGGGAGGGTGACAGGTGGGGAGCCAGGCGGGAGGCACTTATAAGAGGGAGAAGCGATGTGGGCATCCACTTCTCCATCAAAGGGGGGAGTGAGGTTGGCTACCTTCAGGGTGAGGCTGCGGCTTCTGCAGCATCTTAAAGGACAATGTTTTTTTCTTTTTAGTACAAGGAAATAGGACTTTATTAGCATTGTTATAGGCATTGCATTACATAGGAACTGATTTATAGCATGCACAGCCCCAACTGAGCTTTGAGGAGGTAAACCATAGCAGAAGATGAATCACCCTGGAATTTCCAACAAAAGGTGGCAGTTCCCCTTACAAAAACATAAAAAGAAAACCCCTTTTGACATCTTAAAAGTGCCAGCTCTTAAGCAGCAGCAGATTTCAGATGTGTGAGTTTGCCCAGTCACCCTCCCACCGTACGTTGAGCACTGCTGTGTCCACTCTTGACCACGCCAGGGATTTCCTGATGTTTTTTAAAAAGTTTGAGGATTTCATATGTCTATCTTTCATGGTACCTTACGTTCCCATTTTATATTCTGAATTTTGAATTTCGTGAAAGTGTTAGCAAAATGATTGTAAAAGCTAGTGTCTTGCGCACATGGAGATCGGAGTGAGGCAGGGCCCATCCTCTATCCTGCTGTCCTCTTGGAGCCAGGGAAGAACTGTGTGGCCAATGAGTTCCCCTCGGCCCAGCCCTGGGGGGCTGTGGAGCTGGGCTGGCAGCCCCCTCTCGCAGACCTCCTCCAGAAGACGCGCCGCCTTGGCCATGCCCCACACCCATAGGAAGAGGCTCTGGTTTCAGGCTGTGGTTAGAGATGGGACAGTCAAGACTGACACAGGAGTGAGAGTACATGCTGTGGGTTCGTGGCCCACCAGCTTAAGGTCCTTTTGAGGAAAGGAGGTGGGGAGGTGAGCCAGGGAATGAAGGCTTCTCTTCAGTGGGGGTGGGGAGCCTGAGGAGGAGCCTTGCCATGTGGTAGAGCCCAGGAGTCCTGGAGACCACCTCACTCAGCAGCCCCTTCGCTGCTGAGGAGAATGAGGGCCAGAGAGGCGTTGGTGCATTTTGGCTGGCGACCCATGGCCAGTTGATGGCAGAGTTGGGGCCAGAGCCCAGGCCTCTAGAGCCCCCCACTGCTCTCCCTGTGTCAGCAGGGCCGGAAGGCCCAGCTCTTCCTGGTACTGGGAGCCTGCTCATCAGTGGGGGGGCTAACATTAAACTGGGCCCTGTGGGATAGGTCGGAGTAGGGGCAGACATTTCCTCCCCGCTGCCTCCCACAGGGACTTGCGATTCCAGAGGCTTCAGGAGCAGGGCTGGGCGTCCCCCTCATATGGAAGAGGTGGGCCATGGGGTGTGAGCTCCAGGAGAGTGAGGGGCTCCCTGTGTTATTCACACCCTTAGCTCTTGCCCCTAGAATGTGGCCTGGCCACAGGCACTCACTACATTTAAAAAAAAGTGAGTGAAGAAATGAATAATGACCGCTGTGTTAGGGCCTTGCTCCAAGCAGAATTGTAAAGTAAACCCAGTTTGCTCTGGGGCACTTCAAGCCCACTGTTGCTGTGTCCATCCTTCTCAGGGTCACTTCCCTGCCCCAAGTTGCCTGGTCACAGAGGCTGCATCTGACCCACCCTTCCATCCTAAGGTGCTACCTCTGACTTAGACAGTGACAGTCAGGGAGAGAGAAATGTGTCTCAGGAGGGAGGGGTCAGATGATGGTGGAGTTCTTCGTACCCGAGGGGACGACATCTTTGGGCAGCAAAGTCTGATTTCCCCTGAGTTTCAGGAAAGGTTGGCCTTGGTCTGAACACATCAGATACTGAGGATCAGGGCGTCCAGAGGGTGAGCTGTGAAGGGGAAGCCTCAGGCAGGAGCTGCAGCTCCCCTGAGGGCTGGGACCAGGCAAGGGAGCTGGGAGCTGGCCTGGCACTAAGGGTGGCAGGGATTCTGAGGAAAGGGAGTTAGCGGGCTTCGAGAGATGTCACTCTCGTGATGGTGCTGCCAGGACCCCTCAGGAGCCTTAAGTTATGGCCTGTGAGGAGGATGGGGCACCAGCAGCGGCCTCCTCCTGCTTGGGGAACAGAGGGGGCCCCCTCCTGATGGGTGCTGGACCCACCTCCTCCCCCTCCCCCCACTTGGGAGCCTGGACTCACCTGGCACAGCTTTGAGTTCCCATCAGAAGTGGGGGCTGTGGACACACTGGAGAGGACTGAACGTGGTTGCGCACGCCCCCAGGGCCTGCCGCAGAGACAGCATTAGGGCCTGAGGTCTCGCACCCCGCTCCCCTTTCCCAGCTCTGAGGGGCATGGGGAGGCTCCTCCTGGAAAGGGCAGCTCTCCACTCGCCACCTGGCGGGTGCCCTTGGTGTGACCTTGTAGACTCCTCGGGCCACTCCTCAGCCCAGGCCTTCCGGTTTAGAACTGGAGGAGGTAGGATGCTTGCCCCAAAATGCCCACCTTGCACCCACTGCCAAGCACATACTGCTCTGTGAACAACCCCCATCCCATCATGTGCATCAAACTGCACTCCTTAAAACTGCCTCCTCCCTTCCCATACTCCTCCTCTTTCATTCTTTTGTGGCTTTTTCTTGACCCCTCTTAGACTGCCTTTTCTATATTAAAACAGTGGGGGGCACCTCCCAGTCCTGGGCCTGCACTCCTGGGGCTGTTCTGGACCTGGAGGAGTGGGACCTCTGAGGATCATGGACCAGAAAGGGTGGGGCTTTGGGAGCTGAGGAAAGTCCTGGGACCAGCTGGCAGGGGTGGGTGTACCTGGCATGTGGTGTGGGCATCCCAGCCCTTGGACGCCAGAGCCTGCAGCTGGGGCGTGTGCTGCTCCACAAATTGTTCGCACTGAGGAAGGAGACGGACACGGATAAGGGGTGGACCAGGCCCACTGCAGGACTCTCCTGCCTTGCTGCCCTGGCCTCTCCACTTATCTGGATCACTCCAGGGCTCCCCCCTGACCTGCTGTAGGTCTGGCCATCAGCCCCCATTGAGCAGCTCTGGCTGTAAATAAGACTGAACAAGCCGGCGTGGGCTGCAATGGAGGGTTTCTGGAGGGAAAGCCAGGAACGTTGGAGACGGAGGGTCTTGGAACCCTTGAAGAAATCTTAAAGCTCATCTGGTCTTTGAGATCTGGTGTGGTAGGCAAAAGAGAGCCCTGAAAGTTATTGAGCAGGGGAGTACCGTGCAGAAGTTGCTGCCCGGGAGGGTAGTCAGCAGGCTTGCCTCAGGGTCTTACTTTATGAAGGGAATTCACTGTCATTGACTCCAAGTACTGGGGCTCTAGGACCTTCAAGCCCAGTCTTCTCCTTTTGTAGGTGGCTTTGTCCCCAGTGAGTCACACTGGGAGGAGGGCTGGGCTGGGACAGGACCAGGACCTTGGAGAGAAGTCCAGGGCCTCTCCCACTCCCCCCGGCCCTGGCCCCTGGCGTTACTCATCTCCTGGTAGATAAACCGGCCTCGCTCTTCGTCCATGAGGGAGTCCTGCTGGTCCTTCAAGCCCACGCCCTTTGTCCAGAGGCGACTCCTGACCTGAGCAGGTTTTGCCCTAAGTTACGGTCCCACTGTTGTTTGGCCTACGTCCTGTCTGAGCTCCTCAAGGGCAGGGGTCCGGCTGGAAAGTCTTTCCCGGCTCAACCCTCCACCCTCCCTGGGTCTTGAGTCCCCCGCACCTTTTGCCTGTCCAGCCAGGAGCTGAGGCAGGCCTGGCGCATTGCCTGTGGCATGGCCTGCTCACTGCTGTTCCCTGCCTGGGTGGTCACCAACACGCAGAGGCGGCACTTGGAGTCTTGTGGTAGCCATTCTCCCGGCAGGGATCCCAGAGTGGCGAGGGCTGGAGAGAAAACAGTCAAGGCCACCCTGCAGAGGTATTCAGTTCTTGTCCTCGCTGAGGCAGTGCACAGGGACTGGAGAGGGAGAGGGTCGTGCAGGGCTAGGGGAGGGGGCCGATGAGATGGGCAGTGGGCAGGGGCTGGGGCGGCAGGCTCACCTGGGCCAGTGCCGTCATCGCTGGAGCACCGGAGGACAAGGCCGCAGACCAGCTGGGGCAGCACGCGGCCCAGCAGTGCGTCCAGAATGATGACGGTATAGCGCTCGGCCAGGCACTGGCAGATGCCGCCCACCACCAGGGGTACCACGTGGCACACCTGGGCCACAGCCACAGCCAGCACACCCTGGGGCAGGGGCCGAGAGAGGGCAGGGTGGGACCTTCCGTGGCAAGATCTACTCTGTGCCCAGTGGGCATTTTGTAGACTTTCCCTTGTTCCCTTCTGGGAGGGTAAATGATTATGCTCTTTACAGATAAGGACACTGGGTATCGGAGAGCCCAGGGGGCTTGCCCAGAGTTATTAAGCAAGTGCAGCAGCCAGGCTGGGGGCCCAGCTCTGACTTCAAAGGCTCTGGAATCTCTGAAAGGGGCATAGCCCAGAGAGGTGGGCATGGCCAAGGCCACCCAGCAGCTGGGGACAGAGATGGAACCAGACCTGTGTCGTCTCCCTCCTGACCCAGAGCTTGCTGTGCTTCCCCATGGGTAGATTAGCTCCTGTCTGTGGCTCCCGGAGCTGACATGTCCCTGGGTTCAGGAGCCCCTGGGGGAAGCCGGGAGTTTCCCCACCCCACCCCGATTCCAAACACAACCTCCAAGGTGAAGGGCAAGGAGAGAGGCGGCAAACACGCTGGCTCATTCCTTCCCTCCTCTGTTCACTCGACCAACTCGTAGGAAGGACCCACATCGACAGGCTGGCCTTGGCCCGGCTCCTGCTTGCAACCCCCTCCGTCCCCCAGTGCCAGCAAGGTTGAGGTAAGAGCTGGGCACAAGGAAGTGCCCCTCTCTGGGTGTGACACCTGCCAGGTGGGTACATTTCACCCAGTAGACCCACCTGCAAGCATTGGAACCAGCTCTCCACCTCTCCTCCTGCCATGATGACGGATGAGTGATCTTGGCTCTGTCAAGGCCAGCCCGTCTACTCGCGCACAGGGCCCCTGCCCCCACCATCTCAAATGCTTCACCCCGCGTTATCCTCATTCTTCTTCCTCTTTACTTCTCCCATTGGTACGTAAACGTGTGAAAATAGTTTCCGTCATAAAAAATCCTCATCCATCTCTGCTCCGCTTCCCAGAAAAACTTCTTGAAAGAGTTGTCGATACTTGCTGCTCCCCTTCTTCCCCTCCATTCTCCCCAGAGCCCACTCCATTTGGGCTTCTGTCCCGATCACACCTCCAAAACAGCTCTCAGGGTCCCCAACAACCTCTCTGTTCCCAGTCCTCTAGTCCTGTCTTGTCTTATCTCCCAGCAGCTTTCAGCCCAGGTGACCACTCCCTCCTTCTGGAAATGCTTTCTTCTCTTGGCTTCCGTGACATCACACCATGGTGTGCCCCCCTCACTGGCTGCCCCTCCTCAGGCTCTTTTGCTGGCATTTCCCTTTGCTTGACCAGGCCTCCTCCTCCACCCTGGCCACACCGTGTCCCTGGATGACCCCACCCAGTCCCTTGGATTTAAATCTTGTCCACAGCCAGTGGCTCTCAGATTGATATCTGCACCTGACCTTTCCCCTAAGGCTTGACATCTCCTCTTGCATGTTGCACTGGCATCTGGGACTTAACATGGCTAGAAGAAGACTCCTTATTTTTCTGCCCAAACCTGTTTCTTCTCAAGTTTGCCCATGTCAGCTGGTGGCATTACCTACCGGAGAGCCACTTGCTCAAGCCAAAGTCTGTAGAGTCATCGTTGATTCCTCCCTTGTCCTCACTCCCTGAATCCCACCCATCACCAAGTCCTGTTGAGCCACCTCCCAAACACATCCCCCGTCCACCCTCTCCACTCCACCCCCATCTTCCCTCATCAAGATATCTGCAATAACCTCCTAATTACTCTCCTTCCTTTCATTCTTGCCTCCCACCTGCCCAATCCATTCTTCAAACAGCCGGAGAGTGATCGCTCTAAACTGCAAATCAGATCTTGGCATCCCCCGCTTGAAACCTTTCCATAGCTGTAAATTGCATTCGGAATAAAATCCAGTGTTTCTTAACTTGGCTTAGACATTTCTACATGGCCTGGCCGTGCCTTCCCCTCCGGCCCCTTCTCCAACCACTCTCTCCCTGGCTCACCCGCTGCAGCCACACTGGCTCTCTGTTCCTCCAGCTTGCCAAGCCCGTTCTTGATTGAGGCCCGTGGCCCGTGAGGGTCTTGTTGTCCTCTAGGTCCCAGCTTGATCGTCACCTCCTCAGAGACTCTCCCTGACCAAGCAGCCTAACGCCTCCTTCTGTCACTGTCCATCCCCTCGTCTGTTTAATTCTCTGCTCTGAACCTATTGCCCTCTGAAAACATCTCTCCCATCACAGTGCAAACGTGGGAAAGCGGGGACCTCCTCTGCTGCTGGAGCCCTCAGCCACCAGACGGGAAGGGCTGTCGGGTCCGGGCCTCTCCTCACTTGGGCCCCATTTCAGGGCAGGGCAGCCCTGGGCTGACAGGTCCCTTGGGCAGTGGTCGCTACAGGTCTGGAAGACTCCAAATTCAGTGCAGGCAGGGATGGGGAGACCATCTGTAGAAGTTCTCCTTTTGAAAAATAAAGCAACTTTTCTACAGAGACTGCTGGGATTCTTCTCCATCAGATGGTGAGCCACTGTGGGGCAAGCCTGGGTCTCATCCATTTTTGTTCTTTGACACCTGGCATAGTGCCTGGCACACAGTGGGGGCCTGACATTTGTTGAATGAACTCTGGGCCTTGCACTTACCGGGCCTGAGCCTGAGCCCCGGGGTCCTTTGGGTGTGCACAAATGGCTCCCCTTCTACTCCTGGCAGCCAGCTGGCCCCTGACAGGGGTGGGAGGAGGGGGGGGAAGCTGGAACTGTGGGGGCCCAATTGAGCTCCATGTGGCCCTGGACGCCTCACCTTGGGAATCACAGCTTGGATCCGCTTGATCAGAGTCTTGCAGAGCCAGCAGAAGGGGAGAGGGATGGGGAGCCGCTGCTCAGAGAGATCCTGGGGGAGAGAACCATGGGTGGAGGCTGGGCTGGGTGCCAGGAGAAGGTGTCTTCCAGGCTCTGCCTCCCCTGCCTCCTCCTCCCCTTGTCACTCCTGCCTTAGGTCCTGCCTGGAGCCGCTTGTGCCCTTCCCAGCTCTGCCCCTCCCAAGGCCCAAGTGCTCATGGGCCTCGGATGGGGCCCCATCTCTCTGGAGCCCCACCTACCCAATGTGAGGGGCCAGCAGTGTGGGGGCCTCCCTCACCAGTGTCTGAGGCCCAGGCCTCGCCTGGAGGGCTCCAGGAAGCACAGGGAGGACCAGCTTGTCCAGCAGAGGGTCCGACAACTCTGGCTCCGGCCCTGGCTCTGGATGCTCGGGTTTGCACAGGCGCAGGTGGTCACAGATGGCCCTTGGGTTCTAGGGCAAAATGCAGGGTGAGGAGGTGGTTAGGGTGCAGGAGGGAACCCCATTCCTGCCCAGGCTGCTCAAAGACTCAGAGACTAGGGCCACTGTCTTTGGGCCTGGAATTGGGGAGCGGGCTGGGGGGTGCTGTGGTTTAGGGCTCTGTGGTGGGGGTGGGGGAGACAAAAGGCAGAGATGGACCAGGTGGGGACTTTGGGGTGGCTGTCTGGGAATGTGGGTGAATGAGCATGAGCACGAATATTTGTGAGAATAAATGAGTGTAAGCATGTGTGTAAGAGTGTGTATGTGTGAGTGTGTAACAGTGTGGGTTTTATGTGAGACTGAGTGTGTGGTATGTATGTGACTGAGTGTATACTTGTGTGAAGGGTGTGAGGGTGTGTGTGCAAGTTTATAAGTGTGCAGGCCCACTGTGTGCAGCTGAGCAGATGGGGCTGTGATCCAGGCGCCTGGCTGGGGGCACTGTGTTTCCTGGGCCAGTTGTGGGCAGGGTGTGTGTGTGTGTGTGTGTGTGTAACTCTGGGCATGGGTGGGTGTGGGGGGCTGTGCGAGGAGGCAGGGTGGAGACGAGGTCCATGGGCCCTCACAATCTGGCTCTGGAAGTAGTCGATGACCACTGGGAGGTAGACGTCGAGCAGGTGGCGGCACTGGGGCACGAGCAGCTTCAAGGGCAGGACGTCACACTGATGCTCCAGGAACTTCCGCATGGTGTCCTGGGAAGCAGATGGGAGCCAACAAGGATGGAGAGGCGACCGACAGCCTGGCTTCTCTGAAGTTGGCCCCTATCTGAGTCCCTGCATGCAGGGCCACCAGCAGGCAGACTGGCCACCCTTCTTCCAGGACTGGAGTTCAGAGAGTGCCAAGATTTAAGTACAGTTGGGCACAGGTAGGGCCCCCTCCCCCTTGGGAAAGACCATCTCTGGCTGTGCTGCTGAGCTCACTCCCAAGGCTGTCTCCTGCCCAGGAGGCGCCTGGAGTCCCCAGGCAACCCCAGGCTTCATCCTCAGCCTAGAAATGGGGCTAACTCCTTCTCCCTGCTCTGTCCCCTGTCTCTTGGCCCCCAAGCTTCATCCAGGATCTGGGCCTCATTACCTGGAAAATGGCCTCCTTGGTCATATTGGCGAGGATGCGGACGATGTTCTCACATTCCTGGCACAAATCATCCTGGGAGGGGGCCCAAGGGGTAGCACATGAGTGGGGGGCATAGTCCCAGCTCAGGTGCGTGAGGCTCTTAGGGCACTCCAAAGCACAGGCAACTGCCCCTCCCCATCCCATCACACCCCATCCCATCCCATTTCAACCCATTCCATCTCACCCATCCCACCCCATCCCATCCCATTTCAACCCATTCCATGTCATCCATCCCACCCCATCCCATCCCATCCCACCCCACCCCATCACACCCCACCCCACCCCATCCCATCCCATCCCATCCCATCTGTCCCATCTCATCCAATCCCATCCCATCTCCTACAGAGGTTCTAATCCCCTCAGGACCATCCAGAGCCTACCCAGTGCCCTCTGTCCCAGACCTTTTGTCCCAGCGCATGCTTGAGTGGTACTCACTGCTCCTGCATGTCCCCAGACTTCCTGTAGGCAGTGCCCGAGGGCTCTGCACTGCAATGCCTGCTCCAGGCTTTGGCACCAGAACTCAGGGCCCCCGGCACAGGCCAGGGATGAGGTGGTCCAGAGAGCTGCAGTTTGGAACCAGAGCAACCTTGGGATCCAGGCCACACCTGGTGCTCTGACCTCACCCCACCTCTAAACCCAATTTTCCTGGGAGAGCATGGCCATTAAACATGCTGGAGTCAGATAGCTCTGGGTTTCACCTGCTCCAGTGCCCAGCAGCTATGTGACCTTGGACAAGCCCTGGAGCCTCTCCGAGCCTCAGCTTCTTCACCTTTAAAATGAAGATAATGTACAGACTAGGGACAACGCCTGGCAGAGAGCCAGAGCTCAGTCAGTGGTGGAGATGGCGGTGATGGCTCCTCTGCACCCGGCCCAGCTGGGAGGGAGGTAAGGAGAGGCTGGGGACACTCACCAGTGCCGGGGCCACAGAGTATGGGGAACAGCAGCAGCCACGGCGGCAGGTGTGACTTGGCCATGACACCTCCACAGCGTGGACGCCCTGCTTGGGGCGTCCTTATAGCGGGGGGCGGGAGTGTGGGGCAGAGCCCTGTGGGAACAGCAGGACCCAGTGTTTGCCTTTGCCCTGGAGGGCCCTCCAGGGGCTTTGATCCCCCAGCTCTTCCTGGCAGCGGAAGTCCTGCCTGCCAGCCCTCGCCCCTCCCTGTCTCCTGCCCTGTTCCTGCTCCCTTTGCCCCTGCCCTGACTCCCATGGGCCTGAGCTCCTGGCTCCCTCCAACCAGGGGGCTTTTGAGCCTCCACATCTGGTCCCATCTCTCTGGGCTATGGGAGGGAAACTGAGGCAGGGCCAGGGCAGCCAGAGTGATCCCCTCCCATCTCCACCCCAGGCCTCTCAGGCCTCCTCTGCTATTGAGCAATGCCCTTAAGAGTTTCCTGCCTCGCTCTTGACCCAGGGCAAGCACTGGAGGGGCAAGCCCAGGACTCTTCTAGGCCACCTACCTCCCACCCCCTCCTTACAGTTTCCCCCGGAAATCTCCTCTGGTTCTATGGACATATGGTTGGCATTAGTCAGAAGAGTGTTTAAATGAAACAAAGAAAAAACCAAAATGCCTCAAGAGTCTAAGACAAGGGTGTGGGGGCTGAGATTTCCAGAGTGGCTCTTGGACAGCGATGCTGCCTGTGTCCCCTGGGGACCCCTCCAGGGTAGGGGCTGGGGTACGGCTGGTGGTTCGGGAGAAAGAAACTGTCCTGTGTAGCTGCGGAGGCTCTCAGGTCAGGCCTGAGGGGGATCTCAGGATCTCACACCCAAGGACTAGCTTACCACCTGACGAGGGGCAGACACTATCGTGAGTGCAGCGGGTAGAGCATCAGCTCAGTGCCCCCACCTTCGTGATCAGTTTTTCTGATTACCAAGGAGCCCTCTCCAGCGGAGGCTCACAGGCCTCTATGGTCCAGGGAGTGTTCCAACACTCATGAGGGTGGGCAGGGCAGTACCACTGGACACAGGATGGTCAAGTGACACCCTCGAGGTCACACAGGGATTCACGTAGTTTCTGTTGGCCTCAAGCCCTTGTCAGTGGGAGTTGACCAAGAGTGTGTAAACGTGTGACCAAAGATTAGGAACCTGGTGACCTGCGTACAACCTCATGAAGGCGGAGCTGGAATGTGCTTATAGTTTAGTAAGTGTTAAACAAATGAGCCGAGCTGGATACAATCAGGTTTGGATACAAGCGAGACTGAGCAGCAGAGTGTGGACTCGTGGATGACTGTGAAAACGGGTCCAACTTGCTTTAACCATACTCAGTTAGTTGTCTGTTTGCAAAAGTAGTTAGATAATGCATTACTAAAGCCCATAGATAACATCTCTGATGCTTGGGTCACCATGGTGACAGGTGCTTAAGTTTTTCAGGAACTGAGAGTGGACTCCTTGTCCAGTTCAGGCTGGTTAAGACCACTGACTCATCAACAGGTTTGGCTGAGCCAGTTGGATTTTGAATTGGGAGATAAGAGCTGAGTCCGCTGGTAGTGGGACAGGAGAAAAGCAAATGTGTGAAGAGTCATAGTGAAATTAATGGTGCATTACAAAGAGGGTCCTCAACGACTTAATGCAAAGTGACCCGGAGCAAATCAAAACCACACTTTACACCCTTTAGGCTGGCTATTATGAAAAAACAGAAAATGAGTGTTGATGAGGATGTGGAGAAATTGGAACCCTAGTACATTACTGGTGCAAATGTAAGATGATGCAGTTGCTGTGGAAAGCAATTTGTGCAAAACAGTTCTTCAAAAAGTGGAACATAGCATTTACTTTATGACCTAGTAATTCCACTTCTAAATGTATACCCAAGAGAATTGAAAACAGGGACCGCAACAGATACTTGTACCCCAATATTCATAACAACATCATTCACGATAGCCAAAAGGTGGAAACAACCCAAGTGTCCATCAACAGATGAATGAGTAAACAAAATGTGGTATATCTATACAATGGAATATTATTTGGCCATAAAAAAGGAATGAAATTCTGACACATGCTACAACATAGATGAACCTTGAAAACATGACACTCAATGAAATTAGCTAGACACAAAAGATCAAATATTGTATGATTCCACTTACATGAGGTACCTAGAATAGTCAAATTCATAGAGACAGAACGTAGATGAGAGTTACTAGGGGCCAGGGAGAGGGGAGAATGGGGAGTTAGTGTTTAATGGGTACAGAGTTTCTGTTTGGGATGATGAAAAATTTCTGGAGATGGATGGTGGTGATGGTTACACATCATTGTGAACGTACCTAAAACCACTGAACTGTACACTTAAAAATAGTTAAAATGGTGAATTTTATGTGATGCGTATTTTACCACAATTAAAAAAAAATTGAGAGGGAGTGGGGGGCGGGAAACAAGCCAAAGCTGGGGGTGGGGAAGGTTTTTTTTTTTGATTGTGGAAAACGTGAGACTCTGAAGTGTGGGGCTTGAGAGAACCGGCGGCTGAGACAAAGGAGATCAGTGAAGTGTGGTTACAGTTCACAGATTAAAATCTCTTTTATATCCTTTGAGAGAGGCAGGTGGAGAGCAGAATTCCGTTTAATCCCCTCTGTGGCTTTCAGGCTGCACTTCCGTGACAGGCTCTGGGGCTGAGTCCTCAGGGCCTGTGACTTTCCTCCCCGCTCCACCCCCACTCTTATTTAGTTTATCGGAGCGTAGTTTCTGGTTTGGGGTAGGACCCATGGGAAAACAAGGCAAATGCCACCTTGGGAGGCCTCATGGCAGCCTTCCTAGCACAGTTCCTTTCTTAAGGCTTCCTTCTTTCAAAAGAAGGAGTTTCTCCAGGGGGAACGAGGCGGGGCAAGGAAACTTAGAGTTTACAAAGAGCTTTCACTCTTTCATGCATTTACCAAATCACAGTCAATGATCTGGGAGTTGGGACCACAGTGGTCAGTGCCCACGTGAACTTAAAATTTCTCTGGGGCCACAGACCCGGAATCAGAGTAGTGGCATCACTCAGGCCAGGGGGGCATGGGACAGCTGGGCAGAGACTTGAGGAAGTGGGAGTTGGCCTAGTAAATGGGGGGATGGATCAGGAGAGGGGTCCAGGCAGGGGGGCCAGCTCATGCAAAGGCCTGCGAAAAGAGAGCTCGTGGGGCAGGTACAGGGACTATTCTGTCCTCATTTGCTGGAGGAACCAACTGAGGCCGCTTCACAAATAGTGAGTTCAGAATGGAGGGGACTCAGTGGGCAGCGATGCCCAGCCCCACATCTCCAGATCCCCGGTCTATTTCTGAGCAGCCAAACGGCTCCGGGCCCTGAACATCGGTGGGCACCAGGAGCATCCTCTTTTCTTCCCCGTCTCCGTAAGCTCCGCTGGCTTCTGACACTGATGGCCAATGAGAGGAGTCGGCAATGTTGACTTTGACCTTCCTCTCATCCCCTTTCCCCTTTTTCTTTACTCTGATGTTGTGTGTTGAATTGTGTCCCCTCAAAGATATGTTGAAGTCCTAACCCCTGGTATCTGTGAAGACGACCTTACTTGGAAATAGGGGCTTTGCAGGTGTAATTAAGTTAAGATGAGGTCATGCTGGATCAGGGTGGGCCCTAATCCAATGACGGGTCCTTATAAGAGGAGGGAAATGTGGACAGAGGGGGACCATCACGTGATGATGGAGGCAGAGATTGTTGTGATGAGGCCGAGGAACCCCAAGGATTGCAGCAGCGCCAGAAGCTGGCAGAGGCAGGCAAGGATTCTGCTCGAGAGCCTTCACCAGGAACACGGCTCTGAGGACACCTTGATTTCAGACTGCTGGCCTCCAGGACTGTGAGAGAACAAATGTCATTTGCTTTAAGCCACTCAGTTTGGTAATTTGAAACAGTAGCCCTAGGAAACTAACATGGTGGCCCACTACATTTTCAACCCACCCCATTGCCCCTTCTCCCAGACCAGGAGCCTGAGTCCACATTTTCCAGATCTGAATTAACAGCTGCCATGTACACGGCAGGCACGGTTGTGGTCAATGTCGCTGTGCATGTTTCCTGTGACCAAAGGGTCTGACCCCAGCGGAGGCCCTGGGGAAGATCTGGATTTTGTAACTCAATGCAGAATAGGCTCTGAGAAAGTGTCCAAAGTGGGTGACATCTGGCTTCAGTGTCAGGGAGGTCCTCTCTCAATGTCCGTCAGGTGTCCCTTCCCTCAGGGCCCCGACTAAAGCTCATTTGCTTGTCCTCCCTGCCATGATGCCCTTCCCTCTGTCTCTAACTGGACACTCCCCACAGGAAGGCAATGGGCCTGTCTTGTTCATTGCCGAGTCTCAGGACCCAGCATGGCGCTAGGGGCACAGCGGCCGCTTAACCAATTGACTGCCAATCCCTCTTTCTTCCTCGCTAATAGAACCCAAATTTTGTTCAGGTTCTGGGTGTTTGGAGAGCTGAATCTGTGCCCCAGTCCTCGGGAGACACCATGATTAGGCCAAGCCATTCCCTTTGCCAGTAATTACTTTGAGTAAGCACGTGTTCAGGTTCTAGTCCACCAGACCTGATGGAAATCTGCTGAGGGCAGCAGGGATGGGTGTACTTCCGGGAAATGCTTCCTTCATGGTTAAAAGAGATAGGGAGAAGTGTCTCTTTCTCTCTTTGGACACTCCCATGCAAAGATGGAGCAGTGGTAGCCATTCTGTCCCAAGAAGGGTAGAAACAAGGGAAGCACAGAAAAACAGCTCAGAGCCCTGACCCGGCCCAGCTGCTGATTTAATAATCCTGAACCCTTCTTGTTCTGTTTATACAATTTCTAGTCAGATGTTGTTATGTGCAGCCCAGATAATCTTAACCAAAGGCAGAAGGAAGACAGAAAGAAAGAAGGAAGGAAATGAAGAAGGAGGAAAGGAAGAGAGGGAGGGAGGGTGAGGAAAGGAGAAAGGGAGGAAGGAAGGAAGGAGGGGAGAAAGCAAGGGAGGGAAGAAGGAAGGAAGGAAGTCCATTCTTTCTATCCCTTATATGCAGATTAAGTTCCATATCCTCCCAGGAGATCTCGCAGTTTCCCCCACCGGA